AAAATGTTTGTAATGCGTTCTACAGGGTGACAAATAAATATCGCCAATTTTTTTTTCGTACCATCATCTTTCAATAATATAGGTAGACCATTCATTGCTTGCCAATATTTTTCGCTTAAAGATTTTTTCTTCCGAATCCTTCTTCAAACATACGAATAGTCGACTTTGTACCAGCCCGAGTCCTCCATCAGAGCCAGTGTGATTCTCGAATAGGCTATGCGAAACGGAGGGTCATCTCCTCGCATCGTTTCATACTGTCAAGTTCCAAAAACTCTTTGATGAAATTCTTGAGATTACCGGCAGAAAATCGGCGTCATAATGACTTCCTGCTGTACCCTGACCACCTGTGTTTTCTATCTCAATGTATTGGAGGTCAGGACAGTCGAGATATTTCCTCGCCTCTTCCAACGCTTTGGGAAAAGCGATTCCGTAAAAGGTTTCGTTCATCCCAGACCCCAATGTTTCTGGATAAACGATGGACCGCGTCGTTTTCTTGTAAAGGTTTCTAAAAAATTTTCTAATTTTTTTGTACAGCGAACAGCGAAAAATAAATTAGAAATAGATATTTGATGGAAAAATACGATTATTGATTTTCATGAAAGACGTCACTGAAAGACGTATTTATGCTATCAATTTAACTTCGGCGCGCCCCCCGTATGCAAAACGCGCATTTTGATACCGGTACAAAAAAGTTGAGGCTTCAATATTTCTAGTGAAGCTTTTACTGACATAAAAACTCAAGTTTTATGACACATAATTTGGGAATATGTTTCTCAGTAAAAAAATTCTCGATGAATTGAATTTTCAAACTTTTGTTGAGTTCAGGTTGATTAAAATTTGAAAAACTGCGGGGAAAACCCGAATCCACTTGTTTCGTGCTCCCCTCACGATGGCGACTGCGTTTTCCAAGTAGGGGAGAGTGCTCCATGTCGAAAGAGAAAATCTGCTTAGCGCCATAAGGTACCGAGAAAAAGCTCGTCAAAGTTTTGCCACGATGTACAGGGGTGGGCATAAACATTGCACGAACTTTTCGATTATTCCAACTTTTTTTTTGCCAGTGGAATTTCAATCTGTTTTTTTTTTGTTTTCCACTTTGCGAACCGTCGCTGGTTCTTTCACCAAGATTTTAGGACTTTTAACAAAAAAAAAATCGCTTCTATCAATCAATTGAACTTTACAACATGGATTTTTTTTCAAACATGAATTTTTTTTGTAAGATCTGAATAGCGCCGTCCAGCGCGCGCCTCGAAAATTGTTTTCGTCCGTTTCTAGCTGCCAGCAGGCGGAGTGGTCACCACTAGGAAAAAGGATGAAGTTTTACAAATGGATTGTAAAAAAAGCTCAAAATGTTGCAATTCACCGTTTTATGTCGTTTTGGGCAAGATTTTCGACAAAAAATTTTTTCGCCTTGTATCTTTTTCAGGCTCAATGGACTTTAATAGCCAGTAAGAATTTTTTCAAGTTAAAAACTTTATCTGAGATACTTTTGAATATAAGATATACAAATTGAAATCCGTGCAATAATTATGCTCACTCCTGTATACCCAAATATTTCAATTTCGCGTATTTCTTGTGTTCTAAATGATGTCAGTGTGACGTCAGGGGTTTGACATTCAACCTAATGCCGTGTTCAATTTGATTTTGCGAAATGCAAAATACCCGTTAAAAAGAGGGAAAGATCACTTAATTTTGGAGAGTCAGAGATCATTTTGCACTTCGCGGAATCAAATTGAACACGGCATAACATTTGAGAATTAAGTGGTATAATACGGCAAGAAAAAGAGAAAAACTGGCGTGTACTATCCCCTTTTTCTCCAAACGTTTCTTTTTCCGTTTTTGCCACACTAAGAAATTTGCAACTCACTGTCCGTCTGGAAATGCTTTCCACAACTCTCCATGGAAGAACAGTGCATGAGATACTTCGTGTCGCAAAATGTTGTACAAATTTTCTTCGCCCTGCAAAAATGTTTTTAAAAAATCGATTAATCGAATCTTCCGGTGAAAAATTTTTCCTCCGAAAAAATAGGCACAATGTGGAGTCTGCAAAAATTTCGATCAATCTTTTGGTCATTATTTTCATCAAATGTCGCCAAAAATAATAAATGTTAACATTTCGGCTGAACGGGAAGTTAACATGTCTAACATGGCTTTGAAATTTTCTATCACTTTGCTCAAATAAAAACAATCTTTGATGGACTGGGAATCGGTCCCGCATAGCCGCTATCTGAGCAAACTTTTCGTTTTGGAGATATGATTTTTCAAAGTTTTTGTCTTTAAACACGTGACAATGTTCGGAAGGAATGTGTCCGCAGCATAAGTCATTGCATGACAGCTAGGAGCGTGGTGCAGTGGCTAGCGCAGTAGCCTGTGAAGCCTATGATTTCATTTATTTCATTTTCATTTCAAGTGTTTATTCGCCATTCCGCAATCTGCACGACAAATACAAAAATAACACATCAAAACAATCAATAGTTCGATGAAGGTTCGAATCTTTTTGCCGCTATAGTTTTTCGCCATTTTTTTTTTCGGGTTATGATGAACATGTCGAATTTTCATGATAAAAACCGTTCGATGGCCTTTTTCTTTCGAAAATTGCTTAGTGAAATGCTACCAAACTCTTATTCATTTCAACCGACGATCTTTGATAATAATTTAGCGCTTCTTTCAAATGTTTTCTGCTGTTCTTCATGCAAAAAACTGCAGATCAACATTTCATTATGTTCGATGTTGGAAAATGTTGCTCCATTGAAAAAATGAACGTACAAACCTCTCTCGTTATTCTTTCTTCTTTTTCCATCAAAAATTTTTTCCCGAAGAGTATCATACCAACATTCGGTTTGTAGCTGAAAACCGAACATATGACGGTCGAATCAACAATTTGAAAAATAACTTAAAAAATAAATAAATAACTTCTCACACTTGATTTTGAAAATTCAAAAAAGAGAAACTTCTGCAATACCGCTTATAGCTGATTCACGGCAGGCTTGAGCCATCGAGAAAAGGGTCCTGCCACGAAAAGAGACGAGACAGTGCCCTGGTTGGTGGAGAGTGCAGACAGGCCACGCCTTTTTGCGTCCTAAGCTAGCCGTGAATCATCTATATCTTATAATTTATAAGTTGCAAAGCGGCTTACTCACAAAATCTCTCCGCTCTGTTTTCAGATTTACGTTTTTTTTCTTCTATAAAATGCTTACAAAAACGGAACGCGTCTCATTTCGCAAAAGATGGTTCACAGCACTCCGAAATAATCCCCAAATGAATGAAAAAAGCCAACTTAGTGCCAGGAACGTAATTACAGGCGCCGGCACCCGCGATTCGTTGGTTATTATCTTCTACTTTCACGAACCAAACATAGTCGACGTCCTGAAAAGGGGGATTTCATTCAGTGCCCTGTCGAAAGTTGAATGGTTCGGATTTAAGTTTTCTCTGAAAATTGATCAACCGATCAATTTTCTCTGAAAATTGATCAACCGATCAAACAGAAAATCGGTTGGAACTTGAAATTATAGCCGGTTTGAAGCTGATTCACAGCTGACTTTAGCCATTGAAATAAGGGTCCTGACACGATAATGTACGAGATAGTCGTGGAGAGCACGGACAGGCCACGCTCCCTTAGCGTCCTAAGCTTGCCATGAAACAGCTATAAATTTTGATTTAAAGCTGAAACAAAAGTGCGCATGGAAAAAAGGATTTGTCACCTAAAATGAATACTATTGTGTGCAACCGTTTGAAACGTAAATAAACGTTCCAAAAATGGTAATCATAACACAAAACACGTTTTCTACGGGACCCAAGCGTTTTAAACATCACCTTCAAGGTTTCGTGACCCTCGTCATCGCAACCTTTCTCTTCAGTCCCCTCGGCACACTCAAAACAATAGTTAACAAAAAAAATTGGGAAAAAAAAGGCTCACCTCGAAAAAATCATACTTGCTGCTCAAAATCTGCTCATCACACATGTTTTCGTACTTACTAGTGTTTACATTGAGTCTGAATCTTTGTTCCATATTGAATCGAAATTTTTTTCCTACGATTTGTAAATGGAAAACTCTTCTTCACGCTGTACTTTGACGTCGAAAAATTTTAACGCCCTTTTAAAATTTTTCTGCAGAAGTTTCGTCTGAGAAACCGGAATGCTGCAAGTAAAATTAGGGGCAACCAGTTACAGCAGTTTTCCAATAACAACAGCGATTTTTCCTTTCTCGTATTACTAAGAGTATTGTAATTAGGAGCACCAGAGCGGTCGCGGGAGGGGCAACCATAGGGACCCTTGAAGGTTCCACTCTAGGGGCCACCAAATACATTGCAGCGAGAGACAGGAACGCATATATTTTGTTCTGACTTTAAATGTTAAGCAGCAAAATTCGCTCCCAACAGAGCTCTGTGGCTCTAAAGTAAGTAAGTTTGCAAAAGAAGCCCCTACAGGGGTTTTGATTATCCTTCCATTTTCGTACCAGTACTATGAGTACTGTACTTAGGAACTTCAAAGCGACCCCTAATGGGCACCCATAAAGTGCCTTCAAAGGTTCCCCTTTAGGGACCACGTTGCATTCGCAGCCACTACATAAGTCGCAATTGAAGCGAGAGACAGGGACGCATACAGTCCTTTCAGATTTTGAATGTAAAGCAGCTAGCTCCACCTCCAAAAACGCTGTGTGGAAGACTCGCTCTCTGATTGGTTCGATCTAGGCAAAAGAAGCGGGGTTTGAACGATGACTTGACATTTAAAATCTGAACAGACTAACACGGGAAGTGCGAAAGGTCGAAGTATTGGAACTTAATGAAACTTGGTATATAGGTACTTCCGAACACCCTGAATCCAAAGCAGTTGAAAAAAAGTGCGCCTTTTTGGTTTTAGTCGAGTTAGGGCGCCTCAAAGTTTGCACGCCAAAAATGCATTGGAAGGGAGGAGGGAATGTGTTGCGGCGGCTAACTCTAGCTGCCAGCAGGCGGCGTGGTGTGGTGGCTAGAGGCCTTGCGCTGTGAAACCTATGATGCAGGTTCGGACCCTTTTTGGTGAAGTTTTTTTTTGCCATGAAGTTTTTCGAAAAAATTGATGAATTTTTGAAGATGGAACGAAAGACACTGTTCAAAGTGTTAAAATTCACTATTTTATGTCGTTTTGAGAAAGACTTTCAACAAAAAATGTTTTAGTTTCTTTTGTCCTGCTCTGTGCAGGAAATTTGGGCGTCGAGATTATTCTTGCGAGAGTTCATAGGTTTGTGATATAAATAACAACTTATTGTAGTTCTATGCTTCTATTCTTATTCATCAAACGATTTTTTTCTTCAAAGATGGCGGTTAGTTAGCCCTTTTCCTTGTCTTTTTTTTTCCTTCCCTGCAGCATCGCCATATCATCTCGATTGTGAAAATAAAGTGAAGCTGGACTTTGATACACATTTTTACGCACATAACGTCATAAAGGAAGGAAAGAAGAATAAATATCATAACACTTTGATTCTATTGGTTTATCAGAAATTTTTTTGAAGGAATGGGTCGACCATAAGCCTTATGGTTAGGCAAGGAAAAAAATGGAGCAAAAAAATTTTTTTGTCGAAATTCTTTCTCAGATGGGCATAAAATGGTGAATTTCAAAAATTTTGAGCTGTTCTTTCACTCCATCATCAAAAACTTCCTCATTTTTTTCAAATAAAAAAATTAGCAAAAAATTTCACCGAAAAAAAGGACCGAACCTGCATCATAGGTTTAACAGCGCAAGGCCTCTAGCCACTACACCACGCCGCCTGCTGGCAGCTAGAGTTAGCCGCCGTAAGACATTCCCTCGTCCCTTCCAATGTGATTTTTGCGTGCAAACTTTGAGGCGCCCTAACTCGACTAAAACCAAAAAGGCGCACTTTTTTTCAACTGCTTTGGATGCAGGGTGTTCGGAAGTACCTATATACCAAGTTTCATTAAATTCCAATATCTCGACCTTTCGCACTTCCCGTGTTAGGTAATGTGTAAAAGGGCGTGTGGTCCGCGCTGGGCAAATCAGATGGACAACCAGAGTTTCAAAGTGAAGAGAGTGTCGGACCATTAAAGAAGCAAGCCCTGTATGAGATTTCAACTAGGAGCCTCTCCAGGGACCTGCTAGTCGATTATTATTATAAGCCCTATTCGAGAAACCATTTCCGTGCGAAAAACTGAACAATGAAGCGTTATTTGAATGAAAATTATTTGCAGAAGACGAATTGATCAAGAGCTGATTCTAGCGAAGTATTTCATATGAAAGAAGAGCTTACTCGTCGAAAACAGAATCATCGTAGAGCACTCTGTAGCGAATCGGCTCCCACTTGCGTTCTTCCGAGCTTTTATCGGGCAGTTTCCTTGTCATTTTGACCGGTTTGTAGTTTTCCCATTTGAAAATCTGCAAAGACTATCCGTACTGCGAGCACATCGGAATCAGAACTTACAAATTCGGAGGCCGTCGAAGTCGCGACAAAGAAAAGGAGAAGGAAGATGGTCCTCATCTCGTCGGTGGAATGACTTCGACCGACGTTTCTTCACGGGTTAATTTACACGTGACGGTTTTTTTGTGCGTCAAAACTTTTTTCCATGCGCGTTATCATTCAAAAGCAAGAGCCGAGCAAAAATCCCAGCCATGACATTAATAACTATACTACTATGCCAACGACCAAGGTGACCGAAAAACCGACTTTCCAAACACAAAAAATACAGTATTATTATCTCATTTCTACTGTTCCTACATGGAGAAGCAGTGATCGTCAGAAAAGCTCGAAAATCGTCTACTACTAGCACAAGAGAGGCGAGATGCTCTACGCGCCGTCTACGTTTGATCAACGACAGTTTCGCAAACCGACAAACAACTCTTCAAATATTCCATGATTCAGCAGAGTACCTTCTCTGAAGACTGAATAAAGTTTTCAAAGTTTCAAAAAAATTTCTACAAAAAAACCCAAGATGATATGTACTGTAAAATTTTCTAAATTAGATTACCTAACGATTGATATATCACTTGTCGTTTTAAAAAAATCTTCAATTCTTTTTATACGCAGCCTACCGGCTACAGTAAGAGGGAATGACTCAAAAAACTGTGCCCGAAATTCTGATAATGGGCTATCACACTGGATGAAGTTTCATCAAAATCAAAAAAAGAAACTTTTTCGAAACTTTCTGAAAATAACAGAGATCCAGTTTCGGAACGCGCCGAATAGCATGGAGGGGGATCCGGAAATATTAAAGGTGCCAATGACAATTTTTGTCCAAATTTTTTTAAAAAAATTCGTTTATGAAATAAAAATACGTAGATGACGGGAAAAAAATTTTTTTCTTGAAATTATTAATTTTCATCGCTTTGCGAAACTGGGCGGGAGTGGGGTTTCGGGAGTCTGCTCAAAAAAAGGGTAGTACCGGGAGGCGTTTTTTTGAGGGGTTGCCCACGTACGATTCCAGCAAAGGATTGTTGTAAAAATATTCTTCATTTTTTTTTTTCACAGTGCTAAATTCACATTTTGTAGTCTCGTCCGACAAAAAAGTTTAAAATTAAGATGAATTTTTCAGTGGCTATTGTCAAAAAAAATTGATTTTCGTCCATTCTCAAAAAAATTTTCGATGAATCCAACAACAAGCAAAACGAGATACTCCTCAAAAAAAAGTTTTGGGGCATTTCCTGTACAATCTGGATTTTTCCGGTACCCTGTGGCCTTTAGATACAAGATAACATGTACAAGATAGGTTTGAAAAAAAGTGTCATTCAAGTCTAAAAAATAATAAACGAGAGGCAATTGAGGCCATCAGAAGCCTCTAATAATTCGGCTCGTTCTCGAGAAATACTAAAGAAACTAGGACCAGATCTGCGCTGACGTCAGGAGATTCAAAAAAGGGACAAAGCGATTATAAACTCTGTATTTATTTACACTTGACGATGAAATCAGCGCTCCGAGCTGGGAGCGCTTCTGAGACGAGAGGCGATCCGCCGGACGAGACTCGGCTTGTGTCGGGCTTTCTTGGCACTTCTCGTCTGCGACCTTTCCAAGTCCAGGACGGGTAGAAGAGCCGCTTCTTCGGTCGGTTCGCGGCCCGTCGCCTCTTCCGCGTAGTTCGCATATACGTCCGGTGGTATCGACTGGGAAATGAGATTATTCAACTGTTTCGAGAAGGGAAAGGGCATTTTCGGAAATTTTTAGTTCGAGCTCTTGGTATTGTTGAAGGAGTCTGTTTAGATTTTGGATGTCAAGTCGTCGCTCAAGCCCCGCCCCCAATAGCGCGATAAACCAATCAGAGAGCGAGCCACCCACAGAGCGCTTTCGAATGACGTCATGGCTAACTTGGGTCTGCGCTCTCCATTAACCAGGCACTCTCTCTTTTCTTATCGCGTCAGGACCCTTTTTCGATGACCAGCGACTTTCTGAGGGCTTCCCAAGCCGTTTGAACTTATACCTCTCGAAAAATTGAAGAGGCCACTTGAGGGTTAAGTTTCCCATTTCCTGGGGAATCCTGCTTTCGTTGTTAAAGTAAAAAATCACTATAAATTCAGAACCTTTCAAAATGACCCCTCAAGTGACAACTCCACCGCCTTCTGAGACTTTTTTCAATATGAACATAATATCAATCAAAAAATGGTCTCTCTCAAAAGATGTAGAAGATTTTCGAGTGGTCCCTAGAGGTCTAAAAAGTAGAAAAATTTTCAAAAAACTATTCTTTACAGAGAACTTATTGCAAGACTGATTTTTTTTAAATCAAAAACCTCGCTTTCTGCACCGCAAGAAACCCTAAAATGACCACTCACATGCTCAAAGATGGGCTGCATACCAAGGAACATTTTCTCGTGTGCATATCCATTTTCCATAAATTTCGAATTACTCATTAATGTTGCCAAAAGCGGATGGTTAACGCTGCCAAAGATGGTCCTGGAAAGTGAATAGCAAGACAATTTTTTTCGTTTCCTTTGCTTTACTCGAGTATTTCCTTGTGTGGCGCTTTTTCTTTGACGTATTCTTGTCGAATCTGCTCCACGGTCATGCCGACTTCGCCCGCTATAACGGCGATTTCGACAGGGGAAAGCTGAAAAATGAAACAATTTCCCAAATTATCTCCAGAATCTCAAAAAAAAAAAAGTTGTAACTTCACGGAAAACCCTCCTAAAAGCGCACACTCTCTCGTGCCCCTCTAACAAGACAATTTTGGAAGAATCTATTTCAAAAATCGCCTGGAAACTGCTCTACCTTACTAGAAGATTCTAGAATGTTAGCCAAAGCTCCACCTCTCTTCTGTAGCCGTCTGGCGCCCTCTCAACGAAGGATCACTCTCTCCTCTCGCTGTCTAGCACTCTCTCAACGCAGGCACACTCTCTCACTTTCGCGCTGCGTCCAGAATTTTCGCGAAGATCAACTGGCGGGTATAAAAACTCGCTGTTTCTGGTGAATCTCAAGCTCAAATCTTCTGAATCTTCCCAATCTACTGCTACAATGTCTCTTCTGCTGTTCGGAGGTCGCCGTTCTCCTCTCGACTCCTTCTACCGCGAGATGCGCGACATCGAACGAGCCATGGCCCATCCGCACTGGCACGCCGCCAACTTCCTCGACTTTAACTCCGCTGCTGACGTCGGACAGGTCCGTTTTTACATTTACTGACTACAGTTTTTCAACTGGGTTCGAAAACTGCATAGGAGATCTATAAAAAAAAGAGAAATAAATTATATTTTGAAAGTTGATAGATCTGGCCCTGATGATCACGAAAACATGTATCTTTTTTAGGAAAAAAAATTTTTTTTTCAAACCTTTCACATTCACATTCTCTTTATAGCAACTTTCAGGGCCCATAACTTTTCTCATAGATCTCTTATGCCTTTTCCAATCACAAAATCAGAAATAGCTCAAAAATTACGCCTAGTTATCCTAGCCTCTAGTTTTCACGCAAATATAAACCCAGACAATTTGTAGGTGACCAACGACGCCGACAAGTACGGCCTGAAGCTGGACGTCTCCCACTTCCGCCCAGAAGAGCTGCAAGTTCACTTGGACGGCCGAAAATTGACTGTCGAGGGCAAACACGAGTCCCGCACTGAGCATGGAAGCACTCAGAGGTTGGTTATTTGGAAGAAACAGCGAAAATGGAAGAAAAAATGCTTATTTCATTCCGCCTAGAAAATGATGAAAGCATGAATTTCCAATAAGATGATTCCAGATCCTTCGTCCGCAGCTTCCTCCTGCCAGAAGACGTCGACGTCGCCGCCGTCAGCTCGAATCTGACCAACGAGGGTCACCTGGCGATCGAGGCCCCTAAGGTGGCCACTACCCGCGGTCGAGCCATTCCAATCACCCGCGCATCTAACGAGGCTATCACTGCCAAGCCAAAGGAGAACGCCGAGAAGAAATAAATAGGCAATTATTCATTAATTTATTGTTTGATCTTCAAAAACTTGTAAATTTGTAAAAAAATAAACTATGAATGAAAAAAATGTGTTTTTCACAACACAGATCGAAGCAATTGAACCGGTTCCTCTATTTTTCCAGTCAGAAACACCAATTTGTCCAACTTTCCTAGGAGAAAAATGGTCATTCCTTCACTTTTTGTGACCAAAAATGGACGACGATCGAATTTTAGCAATTTACCTGGTTTACCTAGACTCCCGTTCATTCATCAGCAAGCTTTACCGGTTGGTTTTTTCATTGAAGTAGTCCCTTAAGTAGCATATGAAAATGATCACTCCAGTAGTTCCACAAATCGTTTTTGAGCTCAATTCCCATATAAGTTTCTCCAGAAAGCCTAAGTTTAGAAAAAAATCACTTTTTTTTAAAATTTTTCAGTACAATCTCCGCACCAACTTCCATTCGATTCCTCACTTTTATTCTTCTGATTGTGAGTTTTTTTGGCTCAAACTTTACAAAACTGTATTTTCAGTGTCTCACTTGGAAATTTTCAACTTCTCGTTCATCTACAAGCAACTATGGCACTCTAAAATTTGAATTTTCAATGAGATAAATATTTTTTCGTTTTACAATGAAACTTCCTTCAGCTCAACGACTCCCAAAAGTCCTTGTTTAGCTATCCGCTTCTCGAAATTTCCATAAAATGGAAATTTCAGCTGATAAAAGACTCGGTTCGCTAGAGCAAGCTTATAACCAACAAAAAAGCCAAAGAACTAGTAAAAATTGAAAAATCAAAATGAAACAGCTGATTAAAGGCTCAGTCGCTAAAGGGACACTTAAACGCAAGAAAAAAAGCTCAAAAAAATTCATCAACTTCTAGATTTTTTTATTGTTCGACATTCCTACAAGAACAGTTTATTTATTCCTCCCAAACTTGAAAGTGCAAAAGCTTTTTTTCCGAAATTATTCACATTTTCGATGAACCCAAACGAACCATTCCGTTGCTGACGGCGCTGCGGCCTCGGGACAAGATTTTCCTCGTATTCGAGAGCGTTTGGGAGTTTCTTGTGTCGCTGATGATGTGACAAAGACGGAAGTTGAACAGAATGACGAAAATCGTGATGATAATGGATACTGTACCAAGAAATATTGAGACCTGCAAATACTTTTTTTTTTTCTGCCTACAAGGAACGTTATTTTACTTGGCGGTCGGGTATTTCCAAAAAAACTGACCAGTCATCTTTCACAGCTCCCTATCTTTTAAGAAAAAAAACTTCAAAGTCACAAAAACTCTCAAAATCCGTTAAAATGCCCCATCTTAGGAAATTGAGCCCTTTTTATGGAAAAAAAAAGTTACACAGGCTCAAAACTTCAGAATCTTCTTCTGGTACTTCAATAAGTTTTCTCGTTTTTTCTCGTTTGTTTTAAAAAATTCTCAGGAGACCTAATTTCTCAAAAAAATACCAAAATCAACTGATGTCTTTCCTTAAACTTTATTCACAAGACTCTTCAGGGGAAAAAAATTCCTTATTTATTGAATTTTTTTACTAGATGCTGCAGAAAAATTCTCTTTTTCACAATGAAAAATATACTTTTTGCAACACCTTTTTTTCTATTACAAAAAGAAAAACTGCTTCTTGGATTCAGATTCAAAAAAATGTTTTTGAAAAGTGTCAGGAACTAAATTACACGTCTTTTCAAAGAACGATTCTAATTTAGAAACGGATCATTTTGATAATTTCACCGCTAAAAAAATGGATTTGAATTTCTCAAAAATCTTGAAGTTTTTCAAGCAGATTGCGGATATAATTTTAACAAAAAATTTCAAAATTGACTTTTCAACACTTGAAAAAAATCAAAAAAATTGCTTCTGAATCACATTTATATTAATAAATTCTACATTTTCGTAAAAAAATAAAAAGTGAAACCCACAGCAACATAGCCATCGTTCCACATGAAAGAAGGCTAAAGTCAATCTGGCCGCTTGCTTTTCGAAGCAACCATAAAAATGAGGAGAAGTTGACGTCGAAACGATACTTTTTTTTCGAGATAGTTTCGAATAAATCAATAAAAACGATTTCGAAACAACTTTATACATACAAATTGGTGAAAAGGTGAGATTTTCCGAAGAAAATGCAGTGTAACAAAGTGATGAGTGATAAATATTCTGGAAAAATCTGAGATTCATTTTTTAAGTAATCTAAAATATAGTTCATTTTTTTTTGCTTGGGAAATATGACAAAAATTTTTTTAAATATTAATTTTTTGCTAGAGCCTATTTTGACACCTGGACTTTTTTTTTGAAGGAATTCGACTTATCACTTATATCCTTAGTTATGAGCTCTACATGCCCAAAAAGAGGAGAAAATTCAAAAAAAATAGGAAAAACCCGGGGGCCAAAAATCTACATACGGAAAAGGGAAAATTAATTCCTCACTCGTCTATATTTTAGCCAAGCCAGAAGTAAATGAACCATTTTCTAAAAATGACAAGTTCAATGGTGAGTATTGGAGGTGAAGAAGTAACAAATGTACAAAAATTTCAAAAACTACTGTGATGGATAAATTTTTCTGGGAGACAATGAATTCATAAATATTGAGAGTGCGTTAAATTTGTGTTGATAGGAAGAAAAAAGTTCCTTGAGCAGTTTTGGGTGTGTACTAGAAAAATAAACCGTAAGATTTGATTCCAACACAAGGATTTGTAGAAAACTAACAAATATTCTATATAAAATGAGCAAAATGACGAGTAAAAGCAAGAGAATTGGAAATTTTTCCTAAAGGATAACAAAGAAAAAATTATTTTCCATCATTAGCTTCCTGACGCTTAACGATGAGAGGAATGATTTTGGTGAAGTTCTGGGACGCTTTAGGAGCCTCGAAAACAAGGACCCTTTCTGGGGTAATCGTCGATTTTAATCCGGAGATGTCAAAACCGTTTGGCACATCGAAACTGAAGCGGAACGATCTGAAATGCGAAAAATATCACTGAGTAGGCGTGATGAATTCGAAAATGATTTGAAAAAAGGTCCTGGCACGCTTTTGAAAGAGAAACAGTGCCTGGTCGGTGGAGAGCGCAGACAGACCAGGCCCCTTTGAGTTACAAATTAGCCTTGAACTTAGGCTCCGTGCAGACCATATCAAAGTAACTACACGTTTCTCCCAAAGATAAGTAGAATTTCGAGAAAAGGTCTCGGAACGATGAGAAAATAGCGCGTGAAAGGAGAGGTTTTCACAGTAGCCTAGGTGATTTTTAAGCAGAATTTTAAGAAAAGGTCTCGGAACGATTAGCGAAATAGCGCGTGAAAGGAGAGGTTTTTACAGTAGCCTAGGTGATTTTTAAGCAGAATTTCAAAAATCTCGGAACGATGAGAAATACCGCGTGAAGGAAGAGGTTTTTACAGTAACCTGAGTGATTTTTTAAATGGAATGTCAAGAAAAGGTCTCGGAAAGATGAGAAAACAGCGCATGAAAGGAGAGGTTCTTACAGTAGTCTAGGTGATTTTTAAGCAGATTTTAAGAAAAGGTCTCGAAACGATGAGAAATACCGCGTGAAAGAAGAGGTTTTCATAGTAACCTGAGTGATTTTTCAAGTAGAATGTCAAGAAAAGGTCTCGGAACGATTAGCAAAATAGCGCGTGAAAGGAGAGGTTTTTACAGTAGCCTAGGTGATTTTTTAAATGGAATGTCAAGAAAAGGTCTCGGAACGATGAGAAAATAGCGCGTTCGCCATAGAGCGCACATGTTCTGCTCAAATTACCTGCTAAGAGCTTCCTGCTCTTTTTCGGTCACATGTTCAGCTTCGATAGACACTTTCCTGTCGCTGAGGGAAATATTCAGTTCTTCGGGGTCAAAATCCGAGACATCAATCGTTTTTTCAAAAATGTCCTTATCTCTAGCTTCCTGAACAAGAATATTGAATTTGAGTCTTTCTTATTAGATAATAAATTGACGAAGGGTCTACAGAACATTACTATAATTTCAAAAATGGTTTTCAGCTTTGAAAATAGTAAGTTCCACTGTTCATCACAGTTTTCTTTCTGTAGAAATTCCAAGGATAAAAGATAGAACCTTTGCGAAAATAGGGGTCACTAAAGTAGTCTAGATAATTTATGTTGATAACCTTGTGAAGCTCGGAAACTTCTTCAATATTCTCCGAGTTTTCTTTCTCCTCGACTCCAGCCTCCAATTTCCTCCGTTTCGGACTGGGAGCCTTATTTCTATTTCTCAGGACCATTTTTTCCGCTCCCAATAGCTGAAAAATTTTAGATTTCTGGAAAAAAAATTTCAGTCACTTTATGGATAGCCACTTTTCCCTGATAATCGTCGCCATCCGATTCATCAGACTTTTCCGATTCCTCAGAATCGCTCGAGGCCATGATCTCGTCCTCCGGAGCATCGTCCTGAAATATTCAAGGTTTTTGAATGAAAATGGAAGAAACCTCCGACGCATCTTGCTCGTGTTCTTCCGCCACGACCTGCACAGAGTCGTTTTGACCCTAAAACCATCAAATATTCGAAAAATTAGACTTTTTTTCGGAACCTTTTTCGAAGGATCTTCACGATTTTGAGTCTTTTCCGTGTCAATTTTCTGCTTTTCATGCGCCTTGATGACGTTTTCCTCCTGAAATTTGTAATTGTTGGCTTTAAATTTGAAAATGTCGTTTTCTGCGTGCTCTTTTTTTTTGGCTTAGGTCAATTCCGTTCGATTTACCTGTTTCCGCGAATCCCCATGATTCTGCGACCCCTCCTGTTCTGTAGATTTTTTTCGCGACAAGTTCTCTTTTTTCGACTTTTCCGGCTCGCTGCCACTCTTCACAACCTCCGAATCGCGCTTTTTGGTCAATTTATCCTCCTGAAAAGCATAATTTCGATCCTTAGTTCTTAAAGGCGCAGAGCCTTTCTTAAAATAATATTTTTTCATAGCAAACCTCCTTTTCCCGCTGCTTCCTTTCAGCCTCCAAAGCGCGCTGAACGTTTTGAAGGGCTCGTTGAGCCTTCATCACGTCGTCATCCAAATCAACCTTCAGAAAAAAACCTCTTTTTTTTGAATCATTTTTTCAATGAATATTACATTTTTCGCCCGGACTTGGTCCTGATTTCCTTCATTTGGGCCAACAGTTTCATGAAAACCAAAAGAGACATTTTTCTCGTGTTCTTTCGACATTTCTCCGACTGGTTTGACCTGCTGAGAGTCGTTTTGCTTCTATAATCCGTTATTCAAAATTGTAAACTTTTTTCTCTCAACCTTTTTTGGAGGATCTTCAGAATTTTGAGCCCTTTCCGTGTCAAGTGCCTCACGCAAACTCACGATTTTTTGCTTTTCAGGCGCCTTGATGACGTTTTGCTCCTGAAATTTGTAGTTGTTAGCTTCATCTTTGGCGCCCAAAATGGCGTTTTCAAAAGCTGAAAAACGAACCTGCTCGTTCCTTTTTTCCGCTTCTGCCTTGTAGTGATCGTTTTTTCTCTCGACCTTTCGCTCCTGAAATGCTCAGTTTCATTATTTTCATCCAATGTTTTGTATTTCACATGTTTTCGCGATTCCGCATGGTTCTGCGACCTCTTCTGTTCTGTAGAACTTTTTTGCGGCAAATTCTCTTTTTTGGAATTTATCGGCTCACTGTCCACCTTCACATCCTCACGCTTTTTGACCAATTTACGTTCCTGAAAACCATCCTTTCAACTTTGAGTTCTTAGAGGCCTTCTTGCGATACAAATTAATTTTTTCATAGCGAACCTCCGCTTCCCGCTGCTTTCTTTCAGCATTCAAAAGCCGATTAATTGCTTGCAAAGCTTTTTGAGCCTTCATCTCGTCATCCTCCAAGTCAATCTTCAAAAAAAAAAGTTTTTCTTCATACTTTCCAAAAATTCACATCTTCCGCCCGAGCGAAGCCTCCATCAGGGCCACCGGTTCCATGCAATGTAAAAAAGCTGATGAAGAATTTCGGGCCTTTTCCGTGATTAAACCAAGCTCCCAATTTCACAAGAGAACGCCATGACTCGTAGTCAACTGCGTCAGATCGCGAGCAAAGTTCACAAACCCTGAAAATTATGATTTGAAGCTTATTTAAGAATTAAATGAACTCATGCCACATCTAAAAAAAACTAACGAAAAAGAAACTCTCAAAAAATTGATAAAAAAATCATTATAGACAAACCTACTTGGATATACTATAAAAATGAGAAAACATAAGATAAATAATGATAAATTTTTATTCAAAAGCGGATAAAAAAAACTGCGAGGGGCTCAAAATAATCAGGAAAAAAAGTTTTCCATCTTGTCTCGGAAAAACTTTTTATAAGAAGACCCTTTTTTCTAACTTACTTTCTCAGACAATCTTCGCATCTGATAACTCGGAGCAGACTTCCAACCGTTTTCAGGAGGTCGTTGCTCTCTAACTCGAGAGTATGAGTGCTGGAAAAATCAGGAAAAAAATCAAAAAGTGCAGGAAAAAAATGTACAGTGGCTTCAATTCCTCCTGTTGAATTTCGGCGAATGAAAAAAATTCCCCATGAATCCGGATTCCAGCAATATTGTTCTCGAAACACACCGGCTGGACGTTTCCGAACGCAGGAGAACTGTTCCTTTTGAAGAAACTGAAAAAAAAAGATTTATAACATGGAAATATTTAAAGATAGAAAGCAAAATGAAAGTTAGATTTCCCAAGATAAAAACATTTTTTTAAAAATTATATTTGAATCTAATTATCCTCTTCAGCATGCTAGGTAGGTCTTTGAAGAATATAATGTTACAAAAAAAGAAGAAACTTACTAAGAGTGAAAAACCTGTTGAGTCGAATTTGAACAGACGGGCCGGCAAATCGATTGTCAGGCTCATAACAGCTCTTAAAGCTGTAAAGGTGGAATGACTCTGAGAAAAAGGTTTACTATTATCAATTTTAACATTTTCAAAAACCTCGATTTCCCAATTATCAATCTCATATGAAAAGTCTTGAATACTATATGGGACTCGATGTTTTAAGTTTCCTACTAATCGCATCGTGTGGATCCTCATGGCTCTTCTCTTTCACTTCAAAAAACTAGAAATATAAATTCAACGCGCTGATAAACGATATAACAATAATATGAAAAAAAAAACAACATCGAGTCAAATCCAAATTTAAAACATTTTAACAAGAACATTTAAAAAATTCCAGAAGGAAACAAAACAAAGACCAAAGAAAAAAAATTTCCGAAAAAGAGAAAATTTTGAGTTTAATTGACAATATAGGCATCCCAAAAACTTTCTGCCGTATTTAAAGCGATTTTGCAAATTTCAAAATAGTCGTCCGAGAAAGAGAAAGATGGAGCAGAGCTAATTTTGCATTTCACGGAAATTAATTTGTGCACGGCATTCGTTTTCATATTTTTTTTAAAACGCAGGAAAAAAATGAAAGACGATTTAAAAATTGACGCGTTCTTCATGATTTCCGGAAATAGGCAAACTGGAATTCCAGGAGGGCGCAGAAACGATGATGGATCCTAGAACGATATACGTATAGTATATACTCTAAACATGCATTTTTACTGCAACTTTTACGCGCGAACTTTTGGAATTCTGAAAAAAAACTTTGAAAATAATATTTAGGCGAAAATTTTGACTATTTCCCGAAATAATTTTGAACGAATAACGCGTCAATTTTGAAATCGCCAAAATTACTTTGAACACGGCATAAACGGATAAAGTGTCAATTTTGAAATTGCCGAAATTATGCCGTGTTCAAAGTGATTCCGCGAAATTCAAAATAGCCGTCAGAGAAAGAGAAAGATAACTAAATTTTGGAGGGTCAGAGACAATTTCGCATTTCGCGGAAATTACTTTGAACACGGCATGAACAAGAAAAACTGGTTTGCAGCGCGCGCTTTGAACGCGGCAATCGGCGCAGCGCAGGCAAACAACATGAGTCTCGAGACGATGCGCCGTTTGATAAACTTTTACTTATTTTTCTTCATCGAACTTCAATTAATCTCTAGAGAGAGCTCTCAAGCCTTGTTCAAATTATTTTTGCCAATTTCAAAATTGACGCGTTGTTCGTTTAGAGTAACTTTGGGAAACAGGCAGATTTCGCATTCCAGGAATGCGCAGAACGAGTCAATTTTGAGTTTCCAAATTTTTCGAATTAAACTTTAGGAGCCTATTTTCTCAAAAAGATTAAATGACCTCACGCTGAACGTTCGCCATTTCTCAACCTGTTTGGCTATTCGTCGATTGCAATGCAAAGCCAGCCAGAGATCTATGCACTCTGCGAATGTCCAAAATCAGTGCTAAAGTCTTTATTTTATTCAGATTTTTTTCGGCTACGTTAGGAATTTATTTCAGTGATATAAGTCGTGATAAATCGACGACAGTTTTGCCACCACTTTTATCCTCACTTGTCAATAAAGGCTACCTCGCCTTCAGTAGTTGTGAATTGAATTACACCAAAAAGGGCAACGGTAAGAATGTAAGATGATTATTTTGGTTCAAATTATAATTTTTAGGCACCTCAGACGTTGAATACATCATCTCGATTGATACAAACAATAATTTCACGGGTTATTTTCAACATTTGTTTACAAAAATTTTCTAGTCTCATCACATAGACTGATTTTATGAAATTTAAGAGGCAAAAGGTCGTTTTCAGTGTTATTTCATTTCAAATTACAAATCCAGATTAAACTTTGAGTCTTTGATAATCTCAGACATTTTCTACCTATTTTCAAATAAATTTAGACTCCCTCGCAAAAGATGAAACCAAAAAGCCACCGAACGCGACAATGCCGAATAAAAAGACTCCTGAGGTGGGTTTGATTCATTTTAAAAAAATAAGAAGAAGTGAAAAGTTTTTCAGAACTCGATCGGAAAAACAAGAAAGAAAGTCTGCTCCAAAAAGTCTCTTAAAAGTAGTACAAGTTCGAATAAAACGTCGGAGGTTTGAAATAGACTCGTTATATAAACTCTAGAAAGTCTAAAACGATTGCGAAATCTCTGCGACTTTAAACTCTTAAAATAATATACTTTATTTTAGGTTTTCTTCTTAGAAAAATTGTTTTTTTTAAAAATGAGGAAAAAAATGTTGAAGTAGTCAATTATTTGAAAAAAATGGAGCGTCTTCCCTGAAAAAGTCTTGGTTTTTTGAGTTATCAGAGTAGCCTTAAAAAAATGAAATAAAATAAAAAGGCCCAAAATAGTCAGAAAAATGTCCATCGTGCATCTACATGATCGCTGTTCGCGTCGTCTTGCTCCATTATACTCGGCCAGTTTTGTTAGTTTCGCAGGAAAAATAGATTAATTCTCAAAATACTGTTTTTAGAATGTGCCCAGGAGCTGATGCATCCGTCAAGCATAACACGGAACGAATCAGGTTGGACTTGTAGAGAGCAAGTTGAATTTTAACAAGGCTTGCCGTTCTAAACGGGAAAATGCTCTTCAAATCCCTCGAAAAGCTGACCGGAAAAAAAGCTTTTCACCCTTCAAGATTTGAAATAATGATATTTTTTTTAAAAAGGACTTCAACTATTAAATAATACTTTATAAAATATTTTTTTTTCATCCAATCATACAATTCAAGAGCTCAATCTTCATACTCTGGCGAATTTCCATCGACAAGAACCCTCGCCCACGTTATCGCCCTATTCTTGGACGAGTTGAAAAAGCGTGTCGAGTAAGCTTTCCAAAAGTTCGAACTCACAAAAAACTATTTTTCAGAGGACCGTTCCAAGCTCGAATGGCTTATTGCGTGGGACCTGTTTCTCGCAAGACCTCGCTTCCAATCGAAAAAAGCAAGCTCAACGTGCAACTCTTCAAAATTTGCAACGAATACGACCAACTCACAATTATCATTAATGCTTACGGCGACTCGGAATGACCGAAATATAAATATAATACATTTATTTACAAGATTTCATGCGTTTTGAAAGTTTAGAAATAAATTTAGTTTTTCCTTGCTCTTCTTGGTGTTTGCCTGCTGCTGCTGCTGCTTGCCGTTTTCGATGGCCCTACCGATAGGAATGGATCGACCGCGAGAAGTGGCCGCTTTAGGGGCCTCGATGGCCAGATGACCGTCGTTGGTGAGAGAAGAGTGGACGGCGGCGATGTCAACATCTTCAGGAAGGAGGAAGCTCCGGACGAAAGATCTGAAAAATAATGACCATTTTCAAGTGAATAGAAAAGATATTTTTAGGACTTCTGAAAATGTTCTTGCCTCAAAAAAGAAGAGAAAAGAAAAATAAAGGTTTCAATATGAATTTAACACAACATGACACTTTCTAGTAAGAAAAAAATTCAATTTCTGAATTTGAGCTGTTTTCGAAATCTGGCATTCCAAAGATTTTATGCTGTATTCAAAGTGATTCCGCGAAATGCTAAATACCCGTGAGAGAAAGGAAAAGATCACTAAATTTTGGAAAGTCAGAGATCATTTTGCATTCTGCGGAAATTATTTTAAACACGGCATTAATTACACAGCTCTTGAAAATTGAACAGAACTTCGCCAGTTTTGAATACTTTTTCCTTACGGGTAAATATTGTAGAAACCTCTTCGTAGTGCCGTGTTCAGTGTGGCTCTCGTGAGAGCCCTCGACAGTCACCGTACGACCATCCAAATGAACCTTGAGTTCCTCAGGACGGAAATGCGAAACGTCCAAGTTCAGGCCATACTTGTTCTCGTCGTTGACAACCTTCAAAAAACAATCTTTCATTGGCCACCCATCAAAAACTGACCACTCCAACGTCGGCGGCCGAGTTGAAGTTGAGGTGATTGGCTCGGTGCCAGTAGGGATTGATCATTGAGTGCTCGAGGTCTCGCATTTCACGGTAGATAGAGTCGAAAGGCGAACGTTGTCCTCCGAAGTGCGAGAGAGCCATAACGATAGATGATTCAGCGATTTTGAAGTTTTGTAGGTTGAATTATCAGAAAAAAAACGCGCTTTTATATACGGACGCGCGCGGTTTCTAGAAACTGTAAACAAAGTGACGTCATCCGCGACCTACCATTTTCTTCTCACACCTGAAAATATGTAGTTTGATCGAATATCGACTCACCACATTTTTTATCAATTTATTCCAGAAAGCTTACCTGAATAAATACACAAAGGAAACACTTTTAAATAACCAGAAGAATTGATTTAAAAAAAGATGAAAAAAATATGAAAAAGGAACTCGTAATTTGCAGCTTGATCTCTTTGCTTCAAGACCTAATTCTGCGCGTAGCTTTTGCGACGCGGCTTCGATTTTGGCGCCAATTTTCAATTTCGCCAATCGATTTTTCGAAAAAATTTTTTTTTCTTTTCTATTTCTTGTGTCGTGTTCAAAGTAATTTCCGCGAAATGCAAAATGATCTCTGACTCTCCAAAATTTAGTGATATTTTCCTTTCTCTAACGGGTATTTTGCATTTCGCGGAAATTACTTTGAACACGGCATTGGTGTTCTAAAATGATTTATCACTTTATTATTGTACTAGAAAAATTGAGGTTTTACGAAAGACTATTTTAATCGTAATTTATAAACTTTTGAACGTTTTTTTGTTGTTTAGCGGCATGACGATGATGGCTACATTGGATGAAAGCGATCTGTTCAGTCAAAATAGCGGAGTAAGATTGTATTCTAGTTTTTGCTTTCAAAAACTTTTTTTCAGAGCTTCTGGGGCTCCAGTGAAGTTTCAACGTTGATAGAAGGCTCCTCCGAGTCGACCAATATTTTCCTGTCCAACTGTATTTATGTAACGTGTTGTGCAATTCTTCGTGGTCGGAAACTGTTTAACGAAAAAGCTTTCGAACCTTTAAAAGTTTCGGGTAAGTCCTTAATTTGTGTGTAAAATTCCTAGTAAACGATTTTTAGACACAGTGAAAAGCTATGTGATGAACCAAACAACTAGCATGGGAGCGAAAGTTTTCAAAAAATTTCATGGAATTCAGGAGGCTATTGAAAACAGATATTTGAGAGTATACAATATTTAATTTTTTTAAATTCTAATTTTTGATCTTTAGAATCTAGCTTTAATCGTTGGAACTGGCGAAGACGAAGATAGCGCGATTGAGGCCTTTACATGGAAAGTTTACTATGACCAAGAAGGCCGGCCCCACGCTGATTTGGAGGGGTTGAAAAAAGATATTTTTCCGATAAAATGTGTAATGAAAACGTTTCAGAGTCGTTGAAAACGACAGGAAAGAACTGGGAAAGATTGGCTACGAAGGCCCAGCGAACCTCAAAAAACAATTTCTTTCCATCATAACTCATTTGGATCATTTGTTCACTACGCTATCGCCATTGCCTTTAGATGCCGTGCCAAGTTTCAGACTGGCTTATTCGCCAGGTTAGTCAAAAACAGCGATATTGAGTAGAAAGTTTCAAGAAAAATAGTAGTTTTTAAAAAAATGAAAAATCTGTATTGCTTCAGGTTTTTTTAAATGACGCTTGAGTGTTTCAATCGCACAAGAGCAATTTTACAACCTAAATTTTTCATATATTTTGATCTGTAAAGGTCTTAGAGAAAAATAGTTTTTGAATATATCTTTCAGAAAGAACAAGAACTCTACCTAGAAATTCCCTGTGAAAGATATTTAGACCTCAAAAGGGTTTCTCAGCAAATTTGTAGAGAAAATTACAAAATTCACATCAAATGACTTTCCTTGAAATTTTCGGACAATTCTAATTTTTTTCTAGGAACTCCGAAAGACTACCAACCGCCGGGTTTCGAAAGTTGTCCAGTTTTCTTCAGAATCCCGCGGCATTATGCCTATGACGTTGGAAATATGCGCTTCCCTAAACACTTGTTTGTTGTTAATCGCGGATTTTGTTGATTTGATGTTATTAAGAATCAAATTGAACTGCCGAACAATGTGCACCGAGCAAGTTTTGGAGGAATCTCCGTTCAGCAGCAGCAATGATTCCGATCGTCGTCGGCCTCTGTATCATACTCAAAGAGTTGAGATATTTTGCAAAATTTTGAAAAGTCTATAAAATGTTTCAAAATTGGATATTTTCCTCAAAAATTTCTCATTAAAAAAGGCTTCTTCAGTTTTTAATATTTTTGGACATTTAAAGTTAGCCCAGAACCTTTTCTGAAGAGAAAACTTACAGAGAAGCGACCGCCCGTCATCCAAAAAAAGAGCTGAGGATCAAAACGAAGAAGATTTCGACCTGAACCTCATCGCCGAGCATAACTTCGACGAACAAAACTTCGACGAATCCGCCCCGACGGAACAAATTCGCGAATCTTCGCCTGACCTCTTCCAGCCCCTCGCTGAGCCACATTCTCCAGCTCTGCGCGAGATTCACTCGAGAAGAGAGGCCGACAACAAAACTCCACAGACTAGGAAACGAGGCGCCGTTGTTCGGGAGCTTTCGGACGGGAGTCTGGAACAGGAGACGAAGTCTGCCAGTGGTAGGTTTTGGGGTACAGAAAAACAATAAATTTGATATTTTCTGGTTCAATTTTTATATGAGTTTTGTTTGAAGGAACAGTCGCTATTTTTTTTTTTTTGCTTTTTGGCGCCTTTTATATGCCTTATTTAGCCAGCTGCGATGAATGAACTATTGATTGTTTCAAATCTCAGAAAATATGAGGAAAAGTCTTTCAATTTGAGGAAGTAACAGCGATTTCACAACAGGTCTAATAAAAATGCGATATTTTTTAAAATTGGTTGACTCTACAGAAAAGAAATCGAAAAAGTTCAAAATAAGCCATTTTTCTCGTAAATTATTGTCAGAACAGAAACATGATTCTGAAAACGAATCCATTTTTTTGACCGCAATTACAGAACATGATTCTGAAAACGAATCCAGAGACCGGCTCTACGATTCTTCTTCTCCGACGCCGCCAAAACGACGAACCCTGAACAAATCTCAAGCGCAAAGAGTTCAAAAAGTCGTCAAAGATTTGTTCGTCGAAACGACTCGTAGAACTCGCGTCTTTTCCATGGAAGATGATGATGAAGCGGAAAAAGAGAACGAAAATCTTAATACTGTTGAGGAAATCCAGGAAGAACAGCCGATTTTCGGTAGGTTTCCGATTAGTGACAGTTTGAGGCTCATTGAAAAGTGTTCAAGTCGATTCTTAGAGGATAGATTGAGAATCCTAGGCTCGACGGTCGTGGAAATCGGATCGTCGCAAACTGCGGTGGAAACTCGAAAAATCGACCTCAGTTCACAGCCGATCGCCGCTCGTTTGGCCTCCTTGGCCGATTCCATCCAATTTTTCGACTCCGATGAAACGGCAATGCCCAAATCGAGCTCTGGACCCACTCAGGAGATCCCTGAAACCCTTTCACCTGAAACTGCGGTCTTTGAAAAGAATGAAGCTTGTTTTATAGATCTGTTTTCAATTTAGGAGTCGCGAAAACGCCGCAAGACTGACACGGCTGTTGTCGTGCGGCAGCAAAGATTTGGAAGGACTGAAGACTTTTTCGTTGAATCTGCGCCTCCTGCTGTCCCGATGAAAGAAAAAAAGGTCGTCAGCGTGAAGAAATTGATAGAAAAATGACTTTGGAAGCTATAATATATTAATTTGTCTTTTAAAATACCCGAAACGGGAGTATTATAATGTTATTATTGGTCACACATGTTTCTTCGTCTTTACAGAGCTCACAGAGGAACTATATCATACTGGTTTTAAAAGGATAGCGAGAAAGGTTCTCATCTAAAAAGCGCAAAACTTTTTTTGAAAGCCCCGTTTCTTCCCACGAAGCCGAAGAAGGTCTCCAAAATACAATTAGCCTTGAGAAAACTTTAAAAAATCTCGAACATTTGCAAACAGAAAAAGGGAAAACGTGTGAAAACTACCTTTCATCCTTCTTTTTGTAATTTTTGTCAATCCTAGGAATCTTCCAAGATGAAAGACGCGTCTTCAGCGAGAAGGAAGCTTTTCTGCAGGACGAGTCCTTTAAACACGCCTGAGGTTTGAGAATGACGAATAAAAATAATCTTCAAGTGGTCATTCCAGGGCTCTTCGGCGGAATCTCGCCAGGCTCACCAAGGGACGTCTGAATCTTTCAGCGAATCGGCCTCCAGAAGATTTGTTAGAAGTTCTCCCATTCGGTTTGAAAAACGTTTAGAAAAAGAAAATATCTCAGTTTTTTCAGGCGCTCGAACATCTGATTCATCGCCAAAATCTTCTAAAACTTGTGAATTTTTGCCCTTACTGTAAATGAAACCTTTGTTAAATTTAAATCGTTGCTAATGGACTTGTATTTATTGTTTTTCGACCCAACTACTGTGAATTTTTGTTGTTAATAAAAGAATTTTGATGGCTTTTCCAATATTTTTTATCGAATGTTGAAAGCTTTCTGATACTTTTGATGGTTTTTCGATCGATTTTTTTGCTTTTTGCTAGGAAGTGTATCGCTACGGCGGGCGGTCAGAATGAAAAAGTTAGTTTCTTTTTTTCTTTGTTGATATGTATACTTTGGAAAATTTACTTAAAAAAATCGTGATATAAAAAAATTCTCGTTGATTTTGTGGACTTGAAACCACAGCTTAGGAAACTTTCAGGCTAAAATTCAAAAGTCTTGTTCGAAATAATCTTTTTAGAATAAATTATCACAAAATATTCAATTGATGAATGTCAACGAGCTTTTCGAATTTACTATATGCTATATGTTCTTTTTAAAAAATTTTCCTGGTTTTTTTTGAGCACAAGAAACAAATCTCGAGGCAAGAAGCCGTTTTCAATGTCATTTCAAATGAAATGGGACTTGAAAAAAATTCTCAGCAGAAGGTGTGTGATTTTCCTAATTTTCAGGCATAAAAAGTCCGAAAAAGCGCCGCAGTGTGCAGTTCAATGACGTCGACGTCATACATCCATTTGTTGATGGAAAGGTTTCAATTAATATATTTTTAATAAAAAGAAAATTTTTTTCAGCTACCAGTCAAATCACCAGCTAAAAAAAGTGGAAGAAGGACGTCAAAGAACAAAAAAACCGGCTGTAAATAGGAGAAGATCCCAGCGTGAGAGGAAACCAATCGATTTTTAGTTGGGATTTCGATATTTTTGTATATTTTCAATGTGGAAGGCTTATTACTTTGAAAATAGTGCTAAGAAAGTTGTTATTTTCGAAATTTGAACAGTTTTAAAAGCTCAATTCCACTTTCCTTGTGTCCTTTTAACAGGTTATAATAAAGAAGGTTGGCCATCAAAAAAAAATATACAAGAGATGAGAACATTTTTTGAAATTTTTCCTGTCAAGGGATGAGCATTTTCTCTCACTTTTCATATTTTAGCCTCAAATTCTGGCGTTTTCTGAAAACTGGTCAGTTTCTTGCTTACTGTACTGACTGAGGGTCCTGAAAATCTAAAATTTCTCGATTTTCGAGTAGGAATAGCTCAAAGTCTCAAAATGCTTCCATTTACCCTGCTTTCAAGGATTATCTTTCAAAAAAAATATAGTTTGAAGCTTGAACCTTCCGATTTTGTTCCAAGTTGAAGAAGAACTACTTTTCAACTATTGAAAAAAACTTTTTTCCAGTCAAGCCCCTGTTTGGAATCGACCAACGAAAGCTTATCGAAGAAAGAAGTCAACGACACAGTCAAAACTGCAAACTTCAAGGTTAAAAAAAAACCTAAACCCCAAAATTATTCCAATTTTCAGCTCCTCTTCCAACAATAGCGCCCCAGTAACCCCTTCCCCAAGAAAAAAAACTGGGTTTTCCTTAAACTTGATAAACATTTAATGTAAAGTAATATTTTCAGACGTCCACGCAAGGCCAACAAGAACGACGCCACGGCTCAATAACTCAAAAGAAAAAATTAAATTTTTGTGTATAATAATTATACTCATATGATTCTAAGAAATGTTTGAAGAAAAATTTGAAATTCTTGTAATTGATAACGAGTTTCGAACAGATTTATAATTTATAAAGCTTTACTCTGTGAATTTTGTTGATTTTTGTAAGGGTGGATGTTTATTTTCATGATTATTTGCTTCTTTCTTTTCGAAAGAATTCAGTGATTTCTAGTTATTTGCAGTGTCCTCTAACGACTTTCGATAGGCGAAAATTACGATTCTGTTTTGAGTCAAAAAGCGCAAAGTCCAAAAAAAAAACTTTTCGGGACAAAAAAAGTCGCGCACAAAAGAGTTGTTGATAAAAAAGAGCCGCCACCTTTTGACGGCGTCTTCTTCGCCAGATGCCCGTCGAAGGCGTCACGATGACAAAAAACAAACAAATCTCAAGTGCTTCGCCAAAAAAAAATCTCTTTACACTCAGAATGCGGCAGCTGTTAGATCACAATGACCGCAATCTCAATATCGTTTTTTTATTTTTTTACTTTTTCTTTTTTTAACCTCGTATGTGCTTCATAGATCCAAAAAAACGCACAAAAAAAGTGATTTTTTTCAAATTTTTCATTCGAATGCTCTGCGCCTTTGAAATTTTTAGAAAGCTGTCGGGATTTTTATTCTCATTCACGTCTGAATCTCTATTTTTACACGCTATTTCTTCACGTATTCTCTGTGTTTTTGAAAGCGCACATGTATTTTATAACTTTAAAAAATTTTTCGAAAAAGGCTCACAAAACCGATTTTTTCCAATTTTCATTCAAGTCGTGCTATAGCTGATTCACGGCTGGCTTGAGCCATCGAAAAATGGTCCTGACACGATAATGCACGAGATAGTGTTCGGCTGATGGAGAGTGCAGACACGCCACGCCCATCTCAGGGTCCCAAGTTAGCCGTGAATCGGCTATATGCGCCTTTAAAGTTTCTAGAAAGCTGTCGTGATTTTATTCTCATTCACGACCGGCTTTTTACGTCTGAATCTCTCCTTTTTACACGCTATTTCTCCATTTATTTTCTGTGCTTTTTAAAGGCGCATATGTATTTTATAGCTTTGAAAACTATTACGAAAAACGATCGTAAAACTGAATTTTTTCAAGTTTTTATTCGAATGCTCTGCGCCTTTAAAATGTTTAGAAAGCTGTCTTGATTTTCATTCTCATTTACGAACGGCTTTTGACGTCTGAATCTCTAATTTTAAACGCTATTTCTATATGCATTGTCAGGATTTATTTTGATCTTTTTCTATCGTTTTTTTTTAAAATTTATTCCAGATCCTCCAACCTTGATTTTGCTAAACAGTGTAAATTCGTTTTCACGCTGCTCGTTTAATTTTTCTCCTCGAATTGTTTAATTTTTTAAGACTTTCACCGAAAATGCTGAGACGGTCTCTTAGGTCTTCTACGTCTCGAAATAATGTAGAAAGGTAATTTATTTTGATTCGAATTGCTTCGAAATCATTTTTTGAAGAGAAATAAAGCCGCAATTGCGTCGAAGACCCGTGGAAACGGAGAGGGCCGATGGAATTGTTTCGAAAATGGACAATTTATCGATCGAAAGGCCAAAGTACGGCAAATTTACATTGTTATGAATGTGACGTCTTAAAAAAAGCTTGAATTTTCAATTATTTCAAGTTCGGGGCCAATTTTAGGCTTGAGAAAAAGATTTTCAAACATTGGACTTGGGAGAAAAATCAAGAAAATTGTAGTTTTCTTGAATTGGCACCAAAATTTGGCTATTTTTTGCTTTCAAATCGAAGAAATCTTCTTTTTTTTGTTCAAAAATTCACGGAATTCGGTATTTTCTACTTGGTATAGGTATTTAAAAAAATGCCTTTTTTCATGAAATTATTTTTTTCAGCGTTGAAACTGTGCAAAGCCTTCCAGAAACCTCTGAGGTTGAAAAAAATGAATTTTTTTCCATACCTCTGAATAGGAGAAACCAATATTGAGGAGGTCTACTAGAACCATTACACGTACTCATCGAGATTTCTTCAAAAGGTATCAAAATTGAAAAATTAAGAAAAAAAAATTGATTTTTCAGTGAACCGACGACTTCAGGCCAACAAAAACGCGTCGCTGTGGACGTTTTGGAAAATGTTTTTTTGTTCGAAATAAAGAAAAATATATTTATTTTATTTTTTCACAGGACGGCCCTAAAATTATGAAGCTTCAAATGGTGATTCATCCCTATAGGTTCGTCAGTTGAAAAAAATTTATTCTGGCCCTGAATTTTTTTCCTTTGTTAGAGTTGTAACTAATATTCTGAAGAACTTGTTTGAGATTTCAAAAAAAATTTTCAGTCTCCGGCGGGAATCTGGTCAACTTCAGCGGGTTTCTGAAGAGGTTTTTTTGTGAAAAGTTAGAATTTTTAAATTGAAAAGGAAAAATTTTCAGGTCAAACCGGATATCCGGAAATCTTTACGGCTTCAAATGCGAGCCCAGGTTTTTTTAAATGTGTAATTTTTTTGGTTGTTTTTGACTGGAAAAAAATCAAAAAAATGTAAAAAAATAAATTTTTTTGGATAGAGACGGGTTTTTTTCCAACTTGAAGGTTCAAATTTCCTAAAGAAGATTATAATTTTTCATTTTTCAAGTTGGATGGAAAGAAGGCCTCCAGTACTGCACCAAGAGAACCACTCAGAACGATTCCGGCCAAGGTGAGCCTCAAAAAAACATATTGACAACATTCTTTTTTTCAGACAGTCTCCAAAAAAATGTAAAAAAAGAAACCAAGGACACCTACGAGGACAAAAAAATCCATCGGAAATGGCAATTGTTAAAGTTGAAGATTCGGAAAATCAAGTTGAAGAGGTTCTATTGGCGGACAGGTGAGGGGAAAGCTTTAAAATGCGAAAAATTGCAGTTTTTCGGGGAAAAAGACCAAATTTTTCTGTTTTCGAAGTATTTTCTCACTAGTATCAGATTTAATGTTTTTTTGTAATTTTTTTAGAAATTCTGAATTTTTGCTCAAAAAATTGCCCTAAAGATCACTGATTCGACCGTAGGGTTCTCTCTAGGGACCACTTTACCAAACCCTATAGGGGCTACTAAAAATTGAAAAAGTGGCCCCTTTAGGGGACATTCTATGCGAAAAACTAGAAAAAAATAACCTTTTTGGCTAAATTTCAAAGACCCCTATAGGGACCACTTTGAGCTTTAGGAGCTAATCCTATAGGAACCACCTTAATTTTACCCCTGTAGGGACCACTTTGGTTGTTTTCCGCCCTAGACCCTATAGGGACCACTCTGGGATTCCTAAGTTTGCCGGAAATTGTGTTGTACAGAAGGCTCACAAAGAAAAAAAAAGACCATTCTTGGTCAAAAATCAAGAAAAATAGTTTTAATCGCCTAAAACCAATAAATCAAATGAAAAATTTGATTTTTTTAAAATTTCAGATGGCCGGAATCCCGCCATGCTCTTCTGAAGTTGCCCAAATCGGTTTTAAAATCCCCCTAAATTATCGAAAAAATGAAATTTCAAGGAACCGGACGATTTCATCGTTGCAGCCGTCGGGTTGAGTCCAATTGAAATCGATCAAAGGTTTTTATCAATGGAGCAACTTTTGTCACAGAAAATAGCCATTTTCAGAGCTTCTTTGAATCTTCCGGAAGCCCTTGAGCAGGTTATAAAAAGCGCTATTTCTTTAAAGAATTTTCAAATTTTTCCAGGAAGTTCCCATTGAAATCGACAATGTTGAAGCTGTGCTCGTAGAGCCTGAAAAGGTGTCAAAAAAGCCGATTTTTTGAGTTTCATTGGCAAATTTCCAGAAAGTTCCCGTCAGGGGGGCCAAATTTGAAGCGAATCGCGAAGATATTCTGCTGGAAGAGGACGAAAATCGGAATTTCGAGACATCTGCGAATTTACCGGCTTCTGATGAGAATGTATGATGGAATAATGTCAAGAGAAATTTTTAGAAAGGGCCAAAAATTCTTTAGAATTGAAAAATCCGACTCGAAAGGCTTGAAAAGTATTGAAACTTCACTTTTTAGAAGAAAAATTTGGACTGTTTTGGCTGGAAATTTGGAGTTTCACGGATAAATTTCAATTTAAGAGGAACCTGAAGATTGAAAATAAAAATTAAGCTTTACGTAACGTGAAAAAAACACATAGATGACCTCTTTTTTTACATTTCGATCCTTAAATCGGTTCATTTTTATTTTGAAAGATGCCCAAGCGAAAAATTGGCTTCTACGGTTAGTTTTGTGGTCCTCTAAGTTAAATAATTCATTAGAAGGTTCAGAGAGGATAGTGAATTTTGAAGGTAATAGTTAGCACACATAAGGAGGAGGTTCAACTTCGAACTTGTCAGAATTTTTTAAAAATTGGTCAGTTGAAGATTCTAAGTGTTAATCTTCCAAAAAAATTCTAGTTTTTCATGAAAAAGAAAAATACTTGAAAATTGAAGGAAATCATCAAAAATCCGTAGAAATAAGTCCTTTTTTTGAATTTTTCTGAAAAAAATGAGAAGATTGAGACTTTTAATCATCTGGTCCATCCAGAAGAAGCTGAGCTATTTTTTTGAAAAAAATATGAAGTGAAAAAAAATTTTTTTATGCGGTGAAGAGTAAAAACTTGACAAAAAAATGGTTCTTCACCTTATTTCGATGATCATTTCCTATTCACAAAAAGTTTCAATCGAAATTTAATTTTGACGACTATACTGACCATATAAAAAAAATGGGAAGGAAAAAAAATTGTCGAAAGTTTTGTTCAAAATAAAATAGTGAATTCCAAAGTTCCATCTTCAAAAATCCCTCTTTTTTTCGAAGAAAAAATGGCAAAAATTATAAGAACTAAAAAGGTTCGAGCCTGCGTGATAGGCGTGCAAATTTTGAGGCGCGCTTTTTTTTTAACTTCTTTGGATTCAGGATGTCCGAATGTACCTATATACCAAGTCTCATTAAACTCCAATACCTCGACCTTTTGCACTTCCCGTGTCAGATTATTTTTAAAGCTGAAATTCTAGGTAGTGAAGCCTGTGCGGCTTCAGGAGCCAGAGGTTCCCGAAGACTTGGAGGAGGAGATATTCGACCCGTCGAAGCAGTTCGACAAGGCTGACGTCGACAAGATGATGGAGTTGATCATCGACAGGGCCTATGATCCGAGGATCTTCTTGAAGGATATCGAAGGTTTTGAATTGGGCGAGGTGTATAAAGAATATTGTGTGCCTTTTTTCGTGATTTTGGAAAATGACTCGAAATTGAAAAAAGGGATGATTCGAAACTGTGGAAGCTTGACTTTGAAGCTTTTTTTCAGTTTTATCCGATTTTGTTCGATTTTTCACAACTTTCTTATGAATAATTTGAAAATTCGGAGAACAATTGTTTGGACTTGACTTGAGTGATCACTAGGGGAGAAGGTAGATCTAAGAGTTCACTTGAGGGAATATTTCATAAGAATTTTTAGTAGCCACTTGAAAAGGAACGAGTCCCTTGTATTCGTGGAAGCTTTTTTCAATACAAAAAAGTAATAATCTTCCCTTTAGTGACCACTTGAAGTGGAATGAGGGAAAGACTCTTATGTCAAAGAAGTGAAATTTCCTTTTTTGGTTTCAAAGATCAATTGTCCTTGGAGCGAATAAGCTATATATTTGAGGGACTAAACTTTGAAAATTTACAGGTGGGACGTTGGATCTTGTCTCATATGAAGGCGAGTCGATTGTTGAGGTGAGGAAAATCGATTTCGAAGAGAGAACCTTGAAAGGGTACCTTGAAAAAGTACCTTATACCTCAGAGTACCGTAAAAGAGTACCTTTTAATGTTAGAGCAACTTGAAAGAGTACCTTATACTTTAGAGCACCTTCAAAAAGTACCTTTCAACCTTAGAGTACCTTGAAAGAGTATCTTTAACCTTAGAGTACCTTGAAAGGGTACCTTTAACCTTAGAGTACCTTGAAAGTGTACCTTTAACCTTAGAGTACCTTGAAAGAGTATCTTTAACCTTAGATTACCTTGAAAGAGTACCTTCAACCTTAGAGTAACTTATACCTTAGAGCACCAGGTGCTCCGCACCTTGAAAGAGTACCTTTCAACGGAATTTTTCAAAGAAACGTTTTCCAGGCTTCGGTTTTGGAAAGTTCAAACCGAAACTGGAACCGTATACTGTTCTTGTGCAACTCGATGGGAACTGGTCTTCGGCGACAAAGTTGAAAAAAATTTTTTTAAAAGAAAAGTACATGAAATTTTTAGTTGTGGTCGAAAAATCGTCCAAAGAAGCCTACCTCCGCATTTCCCTCCAATGCTTCCCCTGGCGGCTGATTGGAGCCCAAATTCCAGTTTTCCGCGTCGGAGAAGAGAAATTCGCGACGTTGGTGGTTTTGAACCTTGTTCGGAAAATATCGATTAAAAATTTTCCATAGATTCGGTTTCGTAAGCTTTATGTGTCGATGGAGCGCGGAAAATAGCGCATTTGAAAATGTCTTCTTCCAAAAAAATACTTAGTGAAAAAAATTCAGAAAAAGGTGAAATATACAAAAATTTTATTTTGAAGGAAAAAAATGTTTTTTTAAGGTCCAGCCAAAATTAGTTTTACCCATCATTTTTTTGAGAAGAAAAATAGCTCAGAAAAAAATTCGTGTCATGAGAAACAAAAAAATGAACAAATGCGCTCCACTGATAATATTTTTAGCTCAATTTTCCAGAACTCCGAAGTACGAGAGACGACTCCAGTCACAGTTAATCGATTCGCTCTCCTGCCTCTTCCCCAACACCCCCTACATCATTACCACGCTAGTTCTCGAATTGTCGACCGATTATGAGCTCACCAAAGTTGAGAAAAATACAATGACAGAAAAAATAACAAAATTCAGAGCTTCTTCCTTGGGGCTGGAAAGTTGCTGGAGAACACTTATGAGGAGAAGTCGCTGAACCGCGTCATGGGCGAGACGTTCAGAGAAAAGTTGGACGCCATCTCCAACAGGTCGGACGCCACCGAGGCGATCGATCTTTTGGTGCAGACTTGCCGGTTAGTTTTTGGAGTTTTCGGTGTTGTACATGGAATTTTGCTTAGATTATCAAGAGATCACAGGAGAAACATTCTAAGTGATCCCTTAGGTGAATTTGACGGTCCATGTAAGATTCTTGGAGTGATCCCTCTAGCAGTATTCCAAGAAGATCTTGAAGAGGTTTTCTAGAAGATTGGAGGAGCGAGTAGGCACTTAAGGGAGGAGCTGAGGATCCTGAGAAGGAGCTAGATGAGTACCACGTTGAAATGAGTCCCTTAATCGATCCCTTGAACTTTTTTCAGCCCCCATTTCAAGCTTTTGAAGTGTCCTAACTCGAAAACGAGATCTACTGCGAGAAAATGTTTTCTTGTTCTGCAATCAGGGGGCCCTAAAATACACTTCAGAGAAGTTTTATCAGAATTTCAACCGGACCGGGGGGTAAGAAACGTTCCCTAGTAAACGCTTTTGATTGAAGGAAATCAAGACTCTGTCTGTTTTGAGTCAAAAAGTGCAAAGTTCCACGCAAAAAAGAACCTTTTCGAGACAAAAGAAAGTCGCGCACAAAAGAGTTGTTGATAAAGAGAGCCGCCACCTTTTGACGGCGTCTTCTTCGCCAGATGCCCGTCGAAGGCGTCACGATGGCAAAAAACAAACAAATCTCAAGTGCTTCGCCAAAAAAAATCTCTTTACACTCAGAATGCGGCAGCTGTTAGATCACAATGACCGAAATCTCAATATCGAGACAAGGCCTTTATTTGTGAATTTTTTGATTTCTCAACTTTTATGTGTACTAAACGTAGGACAAATCGATCAAGTCGGAGAGTTGTGCCTCTGTTCCAAACTCGGCATTTTTAAAAAATTTACCCTGTTACTTACAGATCATTTTCAACTTATTTCAAGGAATTTTCGAACACACAATTAAAATTGAACTCTTGAAAGACTTGTAACTAATTTTTTCAGCGGCGAACTGGCCTTCGAAGCTCGCCTAAACTTCCGGCGAGACTACCTCGTCGGCTATCACAAACTCGCCCTCTGGATCTCTGAACAACGCAAGCAAAATTAATTATTTCATTTTTTATTTCTTGTTTTATCTATTCTTTTACCACGTCTTTCTTGTAATCTCCCAATGTTTATATGTAAAATTTCTATCGTTACCCTTTTTTTTACCTGACTTATAATTGTTACAGTTTTATACAATTTAAAGTGAAATTTTTTCACCAGTTGAATCACGGCCAATTTTTATTTGACAATGGCACATTTACACGACAATATATGGTACAAGGAATAGTCCAAAACTGATAAGTATGATTTTTTTTTGTACGGGGATTAAGAGCAATATCATCGGTAAATTCAGACCGCGTTTGAAAATTAAGGGACAATAAGACAGTCTTATTTCTTTTTTTTTCGTAGATTAGGCGCGGTACATAAATAATTGATCTAAATTCATTGGTAGAAAAATCTGAACTGCTAAAAACTACTCGCATGCTGAGCAGGTGTCTCAACGGGTGTACCCGTATTAAACCCGCGTTTCTGAGGTTATTTTAGTCTCAGTTGGGCTAAAACGGGGGAACGACGGGTGTAAGAAAAATATGTAACCCAGCTGGGCTAAAGCGGGGTCTCAGTTGGGCTAAAAATTGACAAAAGTTCTATCAGCTGGGCATATACGGGTTTAATACGGGGGCACCCGCTGAGACCCCGTCTTAGCACGGCTGGGTTACCCTGCTCAGCATTCGAGTAGGCAAAATCGGAAAAAATCAAAAAATAGAAAGGACACGCCCCTTTTTTGCAAGGGCCGCACGGTTTGATATGATGTTCGCCCGCGATTCTTTTGCTAACGGCTTCAAAGAAAAATTTTCTCGTCTTGGAAAAGCTAAATGACATCAGTTTTTGAAAAAGACAAAAAAAGATCGATAAAATAGGCCACGCCCCTTTTTGCAAAGGGCGCACGGTTTGACATGATCTTTTTTTTTCAAACAGAAAAAAACACGATAGCGCGAGTTCACGGATTGTAGATAGTAATTTGCTATTCGAAATTTGAAAAAAGCTAGAAAAAAAGAATAAAGCGAAGTCCAACATGCAAAAAATTGTCAAACAAAAAGACCCCTTGCTCTTCGAATCAACTTCAGATGACGTTGTTGTGATGGAGGATGAGGAGAGTGATCAACGTCGTCAGGGCCAACAGAATCGCGACGGAGATGATCGTCCATTTGGCGTTTTGGTGGCAAAAATGGCGCTGAACACGTCGGGCCGTTGATTTGAAGCTTGCCGACTGGAATTTTCGATTGTTTCATACGTAAATGATGTCGGAAAAGTTCTAAATTTACGGTGACGTGAAGAACTACAATGAAGTCTTCATTCTGATTGCAAATCCGGCATACAAAATGGGGGCCTTTTTGGCCTATAATTTCCGTTGTATTAAAGGCGCATGCAGATATAATTATCGCGCGCTTCGAAGGGAAGGGTTCTGTAGCGCAGAGAAAAACGAAAATCTTGACAAGCTGTCGCGGATTTTTCTAGTGTTTCTAATTCAAACAAACCGTAGCTTGAAGTTCCTCGGACCGGAGGGCCATATTATCCAGCCGCTCGCCCCGTTCCATTATCCGCTCCACATTGTCGGCCATCACCTGAAATTCACAACGTAATATGTAGCCAGCTGGTCACGTTTTTCTTTCCGCCAAAAATACCGTATCCAATGGTAAGAAAAAATTTTGGGTCCGCGAATATTCGTGAGCGTGAATTGTGCATACACCACCTCGGGGATCTTTGAAAATTTGAATCTTGGAAAATGATTCTTCGGAATTTATAATCTGTCCAGACTTTTAATGTCAAAAATGGCGCTGAACACGTCGGGCCGTTGATTTGAAGCTTGCCGACTGGAATTTTCGATGGCGTCATTCAAAAACACTCTTTGGATGGCTCGCTTTCTGATTGGCTTATCGGGCCATTAGGGGCGGAGCTTTAGAAGCGACTTGACATTCAAAATCTGAACAGACTATAGGAATATTCACCTCTTTTTTGGTTTTTCATCGTTTTTTTTACCGTTTGTTGTTTTATTGTGAGGATTTTGTGCTTCGACCGCCTAAAATTCACGCTCACGAATATTTGCGGACCCTGAATTCCTTCGTATATCCAATCAGGTCAAAAGTGAGCATTTTCGCTTCAAGACCATTGTTTTTACTGTCTTTTTAGCAGTTTCGTACAGCAAAAGGTTGTTTTTACGATATCTTTTCCTTTTCCGTTCTTTAAAAACGTGAATTTCTTGCGCGGAAAACTCGAAAATTCAAAAAGTGATGGTAAAAACGTTGTTTCAGGCGCTCAGAAAACGAAAAATGCAGATTGACCCCCAATTTATTCAAATTTTTTCCGTTGTATCACTTTTAAACTCAAAACTAATGTTTAAAATTGCAAAAAATCAATTTTTTTTGAATTTGGCGGCAAAAAGTTAGATGTGCAGGTTGTCGATCGCATCGCGGTCGCACGCGTCGAAACAACAAAAGTTGTTAGAAAAAAATGTTTTGTTTTTCCCAGTTTTTTTGACCGGAAAAATATCTATTTTTTTAGTCATTTTTATGCATAAAAATTTTTTTCTGTTTGTTTTTCTTAGCATCCAGGATTTCAAGGTTCTGTGGATTTTGCGTCAACAAATGTAAGATGAACGGCTGTGAATTATTAGAAACTATAATTAACAGTTTTCTGAAACGTATTCCATCCTTCATTTCTTCCAATATCTTCATTTCTCACCGATCGAACGTCATTGACTTGAGCTCGAAGGGCAGTGATGCGGGAGTCTTGCGGGGCGGCGGCGCGGGAGTTGTGCTCTTTCTGAAATTCAAAAAAAGTCAGAGGGAAGATGAAGAATTGTAAGAACTTCATACTGATATTGAGAAGAAAAAAATGAATTTATTGGTAAAAAAACTGAAATTTTTGTACAGAATGACAAGAAACATCTTTTTTTCAGAAAAATATGGTTTTAGAAGTTGAAAATCTTTCAAAAGTAGAGCGAGAAAAAAATTTATTAAAAATCACATAATATCATTTTTTTTTTCTAAAACCAACAATGGATTGAAGGAAAATCGGCTGAATTTGGGGCTGAAGTTCGTATTCGCCAGCTTCATTCAAGAGCATGGAGAGTTGGGTTGACGAGGTGATGACCTGAAACATTGAAGTACTTTATATCACCTAGGAGTGGCCCCTAAGGGGGCCGAAAAAAAGCGGTCCCTATGAGTGTAAATATATCGACTAGCATGTCCCCTATAGGAGTCACTAACTAAAACCCCTATAGGGACCAGTTTTGCAAGCTTCATTAGCCCCTAGAGGGGACCCTCCAAGAGCACATAAGTTTACCCCTATAGGGGGCCACGCTAAAGTTTTCTAAGACCATCAAAAAAATCGATAAATTTCCAGCCGAATATAATTTTTTTATAAGTTTTATTATAATTTTATGAGTTTTTTTCCTATGATTTTCTTTCAGAGTGTAAATGTCCAAATCAAAAAAATAACTAGAAAAGTTCAAATTTCATGAATTCCTTCGTCTCTTTCCTAGTACATATCAAACTGTCCACTTTCTCAAAACTCAACATCCCAAATTTACAAAAAAATCGAACAAATTTCACGAAAAAGCCTTTTGAAAAATGATAAATCCAAAGCGGCTGATCCCTTACATGTAGTGGTTTCTGTGAAAATCATGATTTTCTCTATTTTCTCTATAATAGAAAAGAAAAATACAAATAAAAGCCCTGTCGGGACCGAAAAACTGATCCTTATAGGGGCAAAATTAAGGTGTTCCCTAGAGGGATTTGGGGTCTGACCCCTCAGCCCCTAAAGCTCAAGTGGACCCCATGAACACGAAAAATATCGACGAACCCTCGCGCTGGCCTCCAAAAAGCGATTCGCGTTGTCGCGCGAGAGGCCCGGCTCGCCGACGACCGTGTAGATCAGGGTCGACCCTTGATCAATCACCACCGCGTAGAACAGAACGAATCTGAAGAGGTTATAATAGACTTATCAGAAATGGAGTATTCTTATTATTAATATTTCTTTTAAAAAAATTTTTTTCTCGGCTCAAAACGATCGTTTTACTTTTCCGGGCCCTGTTTCAAGCGTTTTCAGAGCCAATTTGAGTTTCCGGTTCGAGAAATCGAATAATTCCTAATTCGGCATTTTATTTTCGAAAAACCCAGTCTCAAGCTAGTACTCTTGAACAGGAAACACCGAAATTACTTGGGAAAATCTTTCTAGGGGTGAGAAGGGGGCGGGGAAACCCTGTAGGGGCCGAAAAAGTGGTCCCCATAGGGGTAAAATTAAGTTGTCCCATGTTGGGTTTTGGGGCATGACCTCTTAGCCGCTAAAGCTCAAGTGGTCCCTATAGGGGTCGTTCAATTCCATTCAAAAACGTTATTTCTTTAATTATTTGTATGGAAATGCTTCTTCGAATAGAGCTCATAAAAATTATCGACTAACATGTCCTCTATAGGGACCCCTTTTGCAAGCTATAGTGGCCCTTATAGGGGTTGGTAAAGTGGATTGAACTAAAGATTTGCCCCTATAGGGATCACTCTGGAGTTTCTGAGTATTACCACCCTTGGAATCAACTTTCAGATATGTTTTTTCAAGTTTACAAGTGCAATAACTTTTATTCAAACTTCTTTTAAAAAAACGCAATATTCACGAATAAAATCCCTTGAAACTAACCCATCAAGCTCGATTTTGCCGTCATTCGCGAAGTGCGTCCTGACACGGGTACGAATCAACCGGGTGATTTCCTCGTCTAAAAAAACCCTCAATATTCAAAAATTCAAGAAAACCCAACCACTCGGAGGGAAAACCGGGCCGAAAATGTTGGCCGCTTCCCCCGATGGCAAATCGACACGGGCGCTTCCAATCGGCAGGATTTGGCCCGAAACTGAAGGCCTTGAGAGAACTAGAGATGAGATCCGAGATCCTGACATTCTGAAGGGAAGAAAAGGTTTATTTTTTGAAGTTTGGTGGGTTTTTGAGAAAATGGTCTTGACTGGATGATGGAAATAGCATGAGAATGGTAGAGATTCAGACAAGAGATTAGATGAAATTGAGAAAATTGGATAGTTCTTTTTTGAACTGAACGAAAAGAACACTTAAAAGGGTTGTTAGATAAGACTCTTTAAGACCCCTTTTTTTGTTTAAAAAATTAGTTTAATTATTTAATAAACTGCCCCCTCCCCACCCGCAAAGGAAATGTGAGACAAAATTTTAACAGTTTGTTTCAAATTTTACAAAAAAACTTGCATTTCAAAAACCCTATCTTAAAAATTAAAATTTCAGAGTTAAACAGTTCCATTATTTAATAATTCTTCCCTTTCACATTCCTTTCCTGACCAAAAAAGCTATTCTCCAAAAAAGAGACATCATGCTCGGCAGGTATAATATTACTGGCCACCTGCTAGGCTTATGGATGACCTTTTTAATTGCTCATCACACCTTGGTAGCGACGGCGTAATACTGAAGTAAGAAAAAGTGGTGTGTAATCATTAAAAAAAGACAGGAAGAAAAATTGAAAACTAAATTTAAAATTGACTTTTTCAAAAAATTTTTTCGATAAATGATCGGTATAATATTTTCTTCAAAAAAAAAAATCAAGATGACAATTTGAACAAAAAATAACCTTCAAAACCGAAAACTCAACAGAAAACAATAAAATGTTTGATTTTGCGTGGGTCCGCCCGTATTGATAACGCGGAAACACGGGAATCAGAGCTCAATGAGCGAAAAAGCAACTTTTCTTTGAAAACGTTCACAAAAACGTCATTTTTGGCTCAAGACAACACCTTTTTTGTCGAAAAAATCCTTGCTAGGGTTTTGAAACGCCTTGGGAGAATTTCATTAAGGTTTCGAAGCGAAAAATCTATTTTTTAGGATCTTCCAAGACCCAGCAAGGATTTTTAAACTATCTCAACCTGAAAAGTCATTAAAAAAGCGTTAAGAAAACAACTTATCAGATAAAAACGCGGAAAAACAAGTAAAACACAGCGACGCCAACTGATTTGTGCTTATTCAAACGAAAACACAGAGAATTCTTTCCTTCGAACGTTTATTCAAAATAAAAGAAGAAAATGCAGTAAAAATGGTGACAAAACAATGAAAAAGAAGAAGTTTCCCGTAGAGAAAAGATTGAAAAAGGTGAGAGCGAGTAGTAGAAAAAGGGTGGGAAAAACAACAAAAGAAAAGAAAATTGCATAGAAAGTGGTACGAAAAAATCGCAAACAACGCAAAAAAGTGAAAAAAAGACCAAAGTAAGGAAGAAGCGCGCGCCAAAAATGGAAACAAATTTTTTTTTGGATATTTTACAGTTTTTCTTGATTCACAATATATACACAATACAGTTTAAATTGAGCCATCACAATAGATGCCAAAAATCGCAAATAAAAATGACGAGTTGGGAAAATGAGTGAAAGCCGTGAGGTATGTTCAAAAGACATCTCTGAGGCGGGGAGTAAATTTTGACTGAAGAAGTATGAAACGGACGGAAAAATGGGTAGGTTTTCAAAACGATCAAAAAAAACAAACATTTTCAGATTTTGCGCGTGAAATCTGAGCATTATGTGCATATTGTACGTACGGTGTACGCCACCAAACATTTAATCGGACGCCGAATTGCATCATTTTCAGCTTTTTCTCATTTTGATCGTTCCAAAACTACACCTTGAAAAAACACACTGTTAAAACCAAAACTGGGCTAATCCGGCACACCAAAATGCAACTAGACAGGGATCTAACCGTTGGAATTTTAGGGATAAATTCGTTCAAAAAATGGAAGAAATTGGACATATATTCACAAAATGTGTACAAATCGCAAAAAGCCTACAAAATGTGACAATTTTCTTTTTACAACGATTGATGGAATACAAAAAATACATACACACATCGTTAAAAGCCTAGAAAATATCGTGGCAATACAATAAAAAGTGACAAAAAGGAGAAAAGGAGGACATCCGACCCACGGAAAATGGCGGCAGAAAGAAAATCTCAAGACAACAAAAAAAAGAGAAGAAAAGAATCCCTGAATTCAAAATAAAATACAATCGCTCCTTTGGAGGTTTTTTTTTTCAATTGAAAAGAGTGTCGAGACCCGTTTGAGAACGGTATAATAAAATAGGTTACGGTAGGAATTTAGGACAAAACGTCCTTCCAAATTCGCTGGAAGGCAGCCTGCGTGAAGCTCGGCTTTTGCGGGAGCGCTGAAAGTAGAAATAATTATTTCAAGTTGTCTCTTAAGGGTTTAGGGGTTTGACATTGAAGCTTTAAGGGGTCACTTCAGTGTTTTTAAAAAATTGAAGGATCAAGTCAGTTCTGTATTGAACACATAAGCACACAAAAAAATGAGCCAAATTTTTAAAATTCAGAATTTTAAAAAACTCACTCGGAACGGCTTGCCGCTTGATCTGGAACAAAAATGGTTGACAATCCGAGAAACGGGTCTCGAAAACGTCGTTCACCAGGCTTTTCGATGGCATCTGGAAAAAGACAATTTTTCGATCTTCAAAAATCACTCAAAACGGCTCTTCGCTTCGAGACCTTCATAAAATTTGCCTATGCGCCTTTAAACCAAAGCCTTTTTGAACTTCAAACCTTGGGTATATAGAGCGGCTGATTTATCTTCGTGCAAATGCTGAGGACCAGATCGCCCAGCGAGTCGGCTACCGTATGCCTCATTCGTCGCAATTCATCTGCAAAATCGATTATTTCTGATCAAACTACACACAAAAAGGACCAACCATTGCTGTCGACTCGGAAAACGTCGAGAATCAGTTTCCACTGTTCCCAGATCGCCGAGTCTTCAGTGGCAGCTGAAAAAAGCAGAATAAACTTGGAAAATGATTATCAAGAGCCGCATTGGGAAATGGCTAAACTATCTGACAAAATGCGCCCGACTTGAAGCGACTTTTGAGGGAAATTTCGAAACTTTTAAGTTTGAACTCATTCTAAATGCAAAAAACCTTTTTTGAAGTTTTAAAAAATGATGAATGATTTTTAAAATTACCTCCACTGATCCAGCCGCCAAAAGACTGCCGCCGTTGTTTTTGGAAAAGAAATCGAGGCCGATTTGGGCGCTCAGCAACGGAACTGAAACATTTGAAAAAGTGAAATTGGCAAGCCTTTTTCAAAATTTGAAAAAGACTTATTTGAATCTTTAGTTTTCAAAGAATTACCTTATTTAGAACTTTATCTAAAGACAATACTTGAAATAATGTAATATCGAATCTTCAATTTAAGAACATCTTTTTCTGCTTGGAAAAATCAACTTTTTACATTTGCAGCCCCCAAATAAAGCTTATTTTTTGATTTGCAGCCCCCAAGAAACACAGATTTCTTCATTCGCAGCTCCCAAAAATCGCTGATTTTCTAATATGCAGCCCCCAAATAATGCTGGTTTTCTAATTTGCAGCCCCCAAGTAATGCTGATTTTTCAATTTGCAGCCCCCAAGAAACACTAATTTTTTTATTTGCAGCTCTCAAAAAACACTGATTTTCTAATTTGCAGCCCCAAGTAATGCTGATTTTTTAACTTGCAGCCCCCAAGAAACACTGATTTTTATATTTGCAGCCCCCAAGAAACTGTTTTTTCATTTGCAGCCCCCAAAACACTGATTTTTATATTTGCAGCTCCTAAGATTTTCCATTTGCAGCCCCCAAGAATCACTGATTTCTCTAATTGCAGCCCCCAAGAAACATTGAATATTCACCAGCACTATCAGAAGGGCTTCCGCAGGACGGAGTGCGACGGGGCGCACTTCCACTCGACGAGGCCTCCTCGACCTCCGACCGGAACTGTCGGACGTCTTCGTCGAGTCGCATCGCGAGCTCTTCCGAATTGACGCGTACCTGCAAATTAGGTTCATTAGAAATTGTCACCTGAGTTGATACTGAGCGGAAAAGAGGTTTTTGTCGATTTTTATATAGCAAAATTCAACATCAAGTCAGTCTGAGCCTTGAAAAATGGCCTTTTTTGAAGGTCATCGAAATTTTTGACCCTTTTCTTCGAGTTATATATTTTTTAAAGCCCACAACTCTCTTCAAAAACCAAAAGTCGGATCCTACAAGTTCAACCAAAGAAGATAGGAACCCAGGAAAGAGACAAAAACACTCAAGAGCGTCAGTCAAGTGGCTATGCTCGCGAGTTTGCGGGGGGCACCTTTATTTGTACCTTTGTCACCGTTTTGGTTACTGTATATAGAGGTCAGAAAACTATTGAGGATCGCGGTGAACTACTGAGAGTTCATAATTAACCATGGAGCGCATTTACAGACGTAATTTAAGCCTTTCTTGATGAAAATTCAAGATTTTTCCCTTGGAGCAAACTTTCGCCACATTTTTAGCCTTCTATCTCAAGCTTGCCATTTTTTACCTGTTTTTTTAAAGAGGTTGGAAAACTATTGACTCCTGTATGCAAAAAACATCTAAAGCTTCAAATTTATCAATAGAGCGCATTTACTGAAGTAATTTAAGCCTTTCTCTACAAAAACTCACGATTTTGCCCTTGGAGCAAACTTTCGCCGAATTTTCAGCCTTCCATCTCAAGCTAGACATTTTTAACATGTTTTTCATAGAGGTCAGAAAACTATTGACTCTTGTATGCAAAAACCATCTGAAGCTTCATGTTTATCAATGGAGCGCATTAACGAATAAAATTCAAGCTATTTTCTGAAAATTCACGATTTTGCCCTTGGAGCAAACTTTCGCCGAATTTTCAGCCTTCTACCTCAAGCTAGCCACCTTCTGATTTTTGTTATAATATCCGCTTTGTGGCAAATTTCTTACTGAAACTCTCCTTCGAGCTGTTCAGCTTGCCTCAAATGCGCTCTATGGCTAATTATGATTTTGTTAAGTTCTGTTCCAATGGCCCATCAACTAGTTAGTCTTTAAACCATCAATCTTCCAAGTTTTTCTCCGTTCCCAATCTTCTAGACTTAATCAATCATTGGCGCCAACAACTGTTCGCCTTTTTCCAGGTTAATTTGTGCAGTTTATTTTTGTGTGACCCCGTTGATTTTACTGCGATTTCGCACGCTGTAAATTGCGTAGTTGGGCGGCGAAAAAAAGACATAAAAAGGGTAGTGTTGCAGGGTGACACGCGAGGTTCACGTGGCCGTCTTTGTGCGTCGTTCGAAGGAAACCATTAATTATCAGTGTAGAGACTAGAGAATGGACCTCTCAGCAATGAATTGAGGCTATTGGTCTGGTTGATGGGGCAGACATTGCGATTTGGGGCTTTAAATTGAGCTCTAACGATTTTTCCCTGGTCTACCGGATCGAGAGCAAATTTCTTGTTGGAAGAAGCCTGCAGCTTCAAAAAGGCTAAAAAAAAGCCTCAGTTTGAGTTCAAAGTCCAATCAATCCTATATTATCAACAGAGCGCGATCACTCCTCAAAAACAGCCTTGATTGAAATGATCAAAGGCGTTTCTTCCGACAATCGTAACGCAAAACGGACTTTTCTTGTTGAGCAGAAGCTGCAGCTTCAAAAAGGCCAAAAATGCCTCAGTTCAAGTTCAAAGTCCAATCAATCCTATATTATCAACAGAGCGCGATCACTCCTCAAAAACAGCCTCGATTGAAATATCAAAGGCGATTTTTCTCGGACGTTTCTTGTTGGAAGAAGCCTGCAGCTTCAAAAAGGCCAAAAAAAGCCTCAGTCAAAGTTCAAAGTCCAACCAATCCCATATTATCAACAGAGCGCGATCACTGCCCAAAAATAGCCTTAATTAAATGATCAAAGCCGTTTCTTCTCGGACGTTTCATTTTGGAAGAAGCCTGCAGCTTCAAAAAGGCTAAAAAAAGGCTCACTTTAAGTTTAAAGTCCCATGGATCTCATATTATCAACAGAGCGCGATCCCTCCTCAAAAACAGCCTTGATTGAAATATCAAAGGCGATTTTCCTCGGACGTTTCTTGTTGGAAGAAGCCTGCAGCTTCAAAAAGGCCAAAAAATGTCTCAGTTCAAGTTCAAAGTCCAATCAATCCTATATTATCAACAGAGCGCGATCACTCCTCAAAAACAGCCTCGATTGAAATATCAAAGGCGATTTTTCTCGGACGTTTCTTGTTGGAAGAAGCCTGCAGCTTCAAAAAGGCCAAAAAAAGCCTCAGTCAAAGTTCAAAGTCCAACCAATCCCATATTATCAACAGAGCGCGATCACTGCCCAAAAATAGCCTTAATTAAATGATCAAAGCCGTTTCTTCTCGGACGTTTCATTTTGGAAGAAGCCTGCAGCTTCAAAAAGGCTAAAAAAAGGCTCACTTTAAGTTTAAAGTCCCATGGATCTCATATTATCAACAGAGCGCGATCCCTCCTCAAAAACAGCCTCGATTGAAATATCAAAGGCGATTTTTCTCGGACGTTTCTTGTTGGAAGAAGCCTGCAGCTTCAAAAAGGCCAAAAAAAGCCTCAGTCAAAGTTCAAAGTCCAACCAATCCCATATTATCAACAGAGCGCGATCACTGCCCAAAAATAGCCTTAATTAAATGATCAAAGCCGTTTCTTCTCGGACGTTTCATTTTGGAAGAAGCCTGCAGCTTCAAAAAGGCTAAAAAAAGGCTCTCTTTAAGTTTAAAGTCCCATGGATCTCATATTATCAACAGAGCGCGATCCCTCCTCAAAAACAGCCTTGATTGAAATATCAAAGGCGATTTTCCTCGGACGTTTCTTGTTGGAAGAAGCCTGCAGCTTCAAAAAGGCCAAAAAATGTCTCAGTTCAAGTTCAAAGTCCAATCAATCCTATATTATCAACAGAGCGCGATCACTCCTCAAAAAAACAGCCTCGATTGAAATATCAAAGGCGATTTTTTTCTCGGACGTTTCTTGTTGGAAGAAGCCTGCAGCTTCAAAAAGGCCAAAAAGCCTCAGTCAAAGTTCAAAGTCCAACCAATCCCATATTATCAACAGAGCGCGATCACTGCCCAAAAAAATAGCCTTAATTAAATGATCAAAGCCGTTTCTTCTCGGACGTTTCATTTTGGAAGAAGCCTGCAGCTTCAAAAAGGCTAAAAAGGCTCACTTTAAGTTTAAAGTCCCATGGATCTCATATTATCAACAGAGCGCGATCCCTCCTCAAAAAACAGCCTTGATTGAAATATCAAAGGCGATTTTTCCTCGGACGTTTCTTGTTGGAAGAAGCCTGCAGCTTCAAAAAGGCCGAAAAAAGCCTCAGTTTGAGTTCAAAGTCCAATCAATCCTATATTATCAACAGAGCGCGATCACTCCTCAAAAACAGCCTCGATTGAAATATCAAAGGCGATTTTTCTCGGACGTTTCTTGTTGGAAGAAGCCTGCAGCTTCAAAAAGGCCAAAAAAAGCCTCAGTCAAAGTTCAAAGTCCAACCAATCCCATATTATCAACAGAGCGCGATCACTGCCCAAAAATAGCCTTAATTAAATGATCAAAGCCGTTTCTTCTCGGACGTTTCATTTTGGAAGAAGCCTGCAGCTTCAAAAAGGCTAAAAAAAGGCTCACTTTAAGTTTAAAGTCCCATGGATCTCATATTATCAACAGAGCGCGATCCCTCCTCAAAAACAGCCTTGATTGAAATATCAAAGGCGATTTTCCTCGGACGTTTCTTGTTGGAAGAAGCCTGCAGCTTCAAAAAGGCCGAAAAAAGCCTCAGTTTGAGTTCAAAGTCCAATCAATCCTATATTATCAACAGAGCGCGATCACTCCTCAAAAACAGCCTCGATTGAAATATCAAAGGCGATTTTTCTCGGACGTTTCTTGTTGGAAGAAGCCTGCAGCTTCAAAAAGGCCAAAAAAAGCCTCAGTCAAAGTTCAAAGTCCAACCAATCCCATATTATCAACAGAGCGCGATCACTGCCCAAAAAAATAGCCTTAATTAAATGATCAAAGCCGTTTCTTCTCGGACGTTTCATTTTGGAAGAAGCCTGCAGCTTCAAAAAAAGGCTAAAAAAAAGCCTCAGTTTGAGTTCAAAGTCCAATCAATCCTATATTATCAACAGAGCGCGATCACTCCTCAAAAACCGCCTTGATTAAATGATCAAAGGCGTTTCTTCTCGGACAATCGTAACGCAAAACGGACCTTTCTTGTGAGCAGAAGCCGCTTCAAAAAGGCCAAAAAAAGCCTCAGTTCAAGTTCAAAGTCCAATCAATCCTATATTATCAACAGAGCGCGATCACTCCTCAAAAATTGAAATATCAAAGCCGTTTCTTCTCGGACGTTTCTGTGCAATTCTAGGGATCACTCAAGGAAACTGACGCCACTAAAGTGGTCACTAGTAATGCCCAGAAACGTCCGGAGCACGTCTATTGCTCCTGCTCTAGACCTTCGAAAATCCATGTCCCTCCTATCTTTGCGACTCGTCTCGACTGTGCAAATGACACCGACCCGGTGAGCGGAGGTGAGGAGAAGATGAAGAAGAAGACAGAAAAAGAGCAGGTGGGCCAATAACAACATCACGGCCACCGTCCGCCGCGCACACGCACACCATTTTGTTTGTCGCCGCCATGTGTAAATCCGGATCCGCAAATCAATTTACTCGAATTGGATCGCGAAACGAGTGTTTTGGGTTACATTTCCAGCTGGCTTTGGATTGAACCGGAAAAAGGCGACGATTGGGACCTTTTCATGGTGAGATTTGATCGATCAACTTCTGAGCTCCAGAGTGGTCCCTACAGGGGCCTTGAGGAACCTTGAAGGTTCCACTTTAGCGACCACTTTACCAATCCTAGTTAGTAGCCCCTTTAGGGGACATGCTAGTCGATGATTCTATGCGAAGAAGCATTTCAATGGTAAAAACTAAATAAATGAGCGTTTTGAATGAAATTGTGAGACCCCTATAGGGTCAACTTGAGCTTTAGGGGCTAAGGGGATAGGATCTAAGCCCCTCTTTGATTTTAGCCCTATAAGGACCACTTTTTCGGCCCCTATAGGGACTTTTTTCCCCGCTAACCCTTGTAGGGACCCCTATAGAGGTTTTTGTCCTCCCTAACCCCTAAAAGGGCCCCTCTGGAAGCTTGTTTCAATCCGAACCAAAAAATGAAGTTCTTCTAACTGTTTTGAGCCTAATCAGCTGAAAATTTACGAATTTTCCCCTTTTTATAGCTCATCCTGGCCCTAGACATCAAATTTCTTATCCAACCGAAACCGAAAGCCCCTCCAAATGACGCCATCTCGAGATTTGCATCTCTTAACGCCGACACGCAACGAGTTCTCAAAGGTTATCTCAGGCGACGGATCTTTAAATGACGATCGCTGCTTTCTGACAGGAAAAACAGTCCCTTTCACTGTCTTTTTTCAAATTTGGCGCCAAATTCGAACTGTCAGGCAGTTTTTCCGTTCAAAATTGAACCAAAATCGAAAAAAACGGGTCATGAACCGTTTTTTTTTCATGATTTTCCAACTTTCGGTTCTGTCTAGACCCCTCAATCCATCGAAACCCATGAAAAATAGGCTTTCCCAGAAAAATTTATGACCCTCGTTGTGTACTCCAAGGATCGCTTCAAACACATGTTCGGGCTAAAAATAAGCAAGTCGTGGAAAATTTAATATCGGCTCATTTTTTTCGTTTTCAAAACATTTTCTAGTCAAAATTTCTTAATGAAAACCGATTTTTTGAAATAAAATACTCTAAAATCGCTTCAGACTCTCTATTAGGCTGGAAAATACTTAAAAGTCATCATATTTTATCGGATTTTTAAGCTTCAAGTGCATCAAAAATAGCCCATAAAAATATCGAAAAAAAGCTCAATTTTTTTCTTTCAAAAATCTTTTTTAAGCTTAAAAAAATATCCCCACAATTTATCATATTCTATCGATTTTTAAGCTTCAATCATCTCAAAAGAGCCATAAAAATCAAAAGACTTAAAAATACCCACAAACCATCATACTTCATTGAAACTTCAAGCTTCAAGCGCCTAAAATACCCATAGAATATCGAAAAAGGCTCAATTTCGCCCACTTGTTATTGTTTTCAACTTCAGTTGTTTGTCAAGCAAGTTCACTTTCAAACTTCAAAAGCATTGTTTTGGTTATCGTTTTGAGGATCTTGTGCCGCCGTCCCGTTCACATTACAACGGTTTATGCTACACACGGAAAGAGGAAGAGAAATGGCGGGACAGTTGACCTCCCGTGTCGCTAAAAACTGACATCGAGCCGTCGGGAAAGACGACTCGAGGCTTTTGAGATGGATTTTTACGAAGAAAAAAGATTTTTTCAACCCTTTGACTATAATAATCACATAAAATTCAGTATAATTAAACTCAGCCAACTTAAAAGACCATTTCAGAGCTCAAAAACCGCCAAAAATCATCTCCGTAACTCAAAACCGACCACGAGGTTGGAAAAATAGTCATTCTTTTGTGGAAAGTCATCATTACGCTTTAAAGCTCAGAAATCATGATGCACTGCATCAAAAAGAAGAAAAATATACATAGTAAACTGTCTCGAAATCCGCTCTCAATGATTTTTTTAAACTTAAAACCGCAACTTTCTGGCTTTTTGGGGTCAGAAACCACTGAAGAAGCTCAAAATCCAGCCCATTGAAACAAATTTGGAAGTTTAAATGGGAATATTTTCCATTTCTAGTACTAATTTAAGCTAGAAAATCTTAGGAGCTACAAAGTGGTCCCTATAGGGACAACCTTAGGGCCCGATGGACCACTTTACCAACCCCTATAGGGGCCACTAAAGCTAGCAAAAGTGGTCCCTATAGGGCCCTTGGGAGGTCTCCACTATGGACCACTTTACCAACCCCTATAGGGGCCACTAAAGCTAGCAAAAGTGGTCCCTATAGGGCCCTTGGGAGGTCTCCACTATGGACTACTTTACCAACCCCTATAGGGGTCACTAAAGCTTGCAAGCCGATAATTATTACGAACTCTGCACGAGAGAATCGATTTTTGAATGAAATCGAGAGGCCTCTATAGGGTTCACTTAGGGGCTAAGGGGTCAGGCTTTAAGCCCCTATAGGGACCACTATGGAATTCCCGAGATTTTCGCCTTCTTTAAGCTTAAAACTAATACAATCCAATTCAGTTTTGACGCAAAAAAAAAAACCGCAATTTTTCCACTGAACCAACCAAAAATCAGTCCAAAATCATGCCTAACAGATGATCCTCTCGAAAATCCCCAAGTCCTCGGAAAAAAAAAACAGCCTTGGTGGGGAGCAGAATCAGCTGACCCATCGGCCCACCCTTGTTCTCTGTCAACTGTCGTCGTGTCTGGCGCACTCCGCTCCAGACAACGCGCTCTCTCTCTCGGGGTACTCTCGTTTCTCTCGCCCTCTCAACTGCTTGCAACCGAAATTATGTCCTTTTCTTTTTGCCCAGCGAGAAGAGAATCGATGTTGCAGCTTCTTCCGAAGAATTTCAAGGCGAGAAAAAATTTTAAAAATTCATTGGACCCTATGGACCTTTCAGAAGAGTGAAAAAACCATGGTAACCAGATTTTCATTAATATTTGCTAAACTGGCACCAATACGAGCATTTTGGAAAGGAATGAAAGGTCAAAATATCAAATTTACGTTGTGAAATTTCATGGAAGTGGCTTATAAATCTCGATTTTTAGGTTTGAAGCTAAAAAAAATGAGAGAAATCAAAGTTCTGCGGTAAATTCGTCTCCGAAACTGCTAAAAATCTATAAAATTCACAGAAATTTTTGAAATCGACTCAGATTTTTCTGTTACAAAAAGAAAAATCTAAAAATTTCCATTACGAAATTTTAAATTCCCCCTTAAAAACCCTATAACCTTCCTTCTAACTCCCCTCCTTACCTCAATTATTTACTACACATTCCCAAAAAAATCGTCCCACCCAAAAAAAAATAATCTCCCACACACAAACAACATATACACATCAAAAATGAACCCGAGACTAGGCTCCAAAAAAAAATTATTTTTTTGTTTATATTATTTTCTTTCCTGTCACGAGGTCAATTTTCGACGAGAACAAAGTAGAACGTCCGTCCTTTTGTTTGCTATTTTTTGGTTGGGAAAAATTTCGGTTCAAGTATTTTGGTGCACTAAAATCGAAATCAACAAAGGTAGGTGCAGAAAAATCGACACGAGGCCATTTTTTTTTTGAGGTATTCAGGCTCCAGAGATGAAGTTTGCGGGCAAATAAGGTTGAGATTGATATTTTTAACTTGTTGATAAGCAAATTCATAACAAATTCTAAAAATTCAGCAAAAAATATGGATAAAAAAAGAAAACTCACATAGGTCAGATCAATATGATCGCAGTCGACTTCTTTCAATCCCAATGAGCCCAGGGTGTAGTTGTTTTCCGTCGAAAATTGGAACTGAAAAATGAAATTTTAATATAATTTATCATCTACTTAACGTTGTATAAATTCCTATCCAAAAGCTATCAATTTTCGCCTAATCGATCATAAAATAAGATTATATCCCTAAATAGTGAAAAAAAAAACGTTTTAGATGAAAGAAATCGAAGAAAAACGAGAATAATTGTGAAAAATTGAATTTGCGCGTAAAAAGTAGTTTTGTGTGCATACACCGCTGTTTACAGACTCAGAAACATTCAATTTTACGCCAAAATTTCAAAATAGGCCCAAATTTTGTGTAGTTTTTCCTGATGATTTTGTTTCTGCTCACAATTTCAATAACTCAACACCCATCTAACCTTGAAAATCCTTCCTCTGACTCCAAAAAGAACCACTTAAAAACAGCCACTAAAAGTAAATAGACCCCCTCTACCACTTTTTTCTGTAATATTTACATTTGTCGTTGAGCTCTGAAGGCAAAATGTGTATATGAAAACTTTCGATTTCCCTCGGGAGGAAAAAAAAACAGACATTTTGGTGCGACGGGAAACCAAATAAAACAGTTTTTACGAGGATGAGAAAAGCCGCATTTCAACCGAATAAATATTGATTTTGGTGGGAAGAGAAACTAAAGTGGGGCCGCTAGACTGTACGGCGACAGTCTTGAGATTTTCTTTTTTTTATTTTTTAAATCAAAATTGAAAATTGTACAGTTCCCTATCGAAAAAAGGACAGAAATTCATCAAGAAAGGTCGAAAATTTTCAAAAATTGCCCTTTTCTGGTCTGTCCGCCGTATGTACTATTTTTTTTCGGTCGTACTTTTCGAATTGGAAACGGGAATTTCAAGTTTCAGTTCGATAGTTCAAAAAGAAAAAGAAAAAATTATACTATTTTCAAAAAAACTACATAAAAATACTCGATTTTTCGACTTTCGGGGCAGGTCAAAAGTTGAAAACTCTATCAAAAATTAAATTTTTCAATCTTCAAGTTGATCTTTACTCCTTCTAATTGAGAGCTTCCGCGCGAAAAGCGTCATTTCAAATTAACCAAGTTTGGCGTGATGATTCTAATCTAATTATCACGAAAGCGAAAAAAAAAGTGGAGAATTTTCGTCTTGTTTCGTAGCCATGTGATTCAATAATTTCTGTAGTTCGATAGAGCGCAAAAACTCAAAAAAGTCACCTTTTGGGTGGCTATATTTTCTTCATTGTGTCTACCTTGTCATTAAGCCGTCGGACTCATATTTTTACAACCTCGACAAATAAATTCCAAATTATCCATGGAGCGCACAAGTCGGTAGTATTGACCTTTTTGGCGGCTATTTTTTCTCTTTCGTTTTTTCATGGTAATCAAGTCGTCGGACTCATACTTTCACAAGTTTCCTCGACAAATAAACTCCAAATTATCCGTGGAGCGCACAAGTTCATAAACTCGAGCTTTTCGGCGGCTATTTTTTCTCAATAAGTTGAGAAGTAAGATTTTCGATTTTCCCATTTGTGATCCTTGTGAAAAGTTGAAGCCATGGAGCAGAGAAGACTTTTAAAATTGAGCCATCTCGCGGCTATTTTTCCAAAAGTTCAAAAATCGAGAAATTTTTTAAATTGTGACCCATGCAAAGACCTTTTTTCCCATTCTCCCACAAAAAATCCAATTTTCCTGTCCCATAGATCGACCCGACACAATGCCGAATGGCACCATAATTTGACTTTTTTCCCTTTTTTTCTTCTTCTGGCGCCAAGAAATGAAGCGTGTGACGCGGAATAGTATAATACTAGGGTGGGGGGAAGAATTGAAATGGAAAGGGGCAGGGGAAAAAAAACTCGTGACTTTGGGAGGGCGTCTGTCTGTCAGCTGTGTGGATGGATGGCACGTGAAGTTTTTTTATGGATGTTCTTTGCTTCTTTTTCTTTTTTTTTTTTCATGGCCAAATATGGAATTGATAGGGAATTATCAAGGTACAAAGAAGAAAGAGTGAAAAAAAAATTCGTAATAAATTTCAGAAATCTTAATTTTAGGGCTTTTCATTTTTGTTGCATATAGCGTTGTACTAAAAATTGAACCAAAACAAAAAAATCACTTTTTTTCGCATCTGGAATGGCTTAGGACGCGTTGCGGTCGCGTGACGGCTCGACTTTTTTTAAAACTTAAATTCAAAATCCAAAAATCTTGGTTTCTTCTTTACTTTACATACTGAACTGAAAAAATGGATGAAAATTGGACTTTTTGTCGCATTTGGAATGGCTTGGGACGCGTTGCGGTCGCGTGACAGCTTGGATTTTTACACCGTTCTAAAGTGAAACGGGAAAATGAAGTAGTAGCTATCCTGAACTGATTTTAACCTTTTTTCAAACCTGTCAGTTCATTCTTGTCATATTTTTCCACTAAAAATCATTAAAATCCTATTTTTTTTTCCTGATCTACGTGATAACTTCTAGAACCACTTCCACTCTTTGACCTCAAAGCAACAAAAGTTTGCTTTTCCCTTTCTTCGTTTTCGTTTGCCTTCTACTCGATTAGTGTTGCGTAAGTAGGAAAGGAGGAAAAAAAGTCGCCGAAAAGTTTTGCCTCGAAAAAAACTTGTTTTCAGCAGACAACTTAGGGGCGACGAATTTCAAGGTTTTTGCGAGGGAAAAATGGTTTTATGTGGGAATGGGATGTTTGAAAGGTTGTTCTTTGAAGGATGGTAAATGCTGGATGCTTGGAGAAGGAAATTCACATTTTTTTGAAGAAAAAAATTCAGTTTATATAAAGTTGGTATCATATTTCGTTGGAAGTTCATTGGAGCGCAAAAAACGCGAAGAAATAGCCGAAAAAATTCAAAACTCGTTTTTTTTTTGCTTTGATATGACTCGATTTTCAGTGAGCTTCAAAAAAGTCCAATGGAGCGCAAAAGCCTTCCGAAAAATCGCCTTAGACTTATTTTTCGATTTTTCACCCGAAAACTGACCTAAACCTCGATAAGAACCCGAAAACCTCCAAAAAAAAAACCTTCACTAAATAATTTCCCAGAAGAACTACTCGAAAATGTGTTCTCGGCTCAGGGGGCCAGCGTGTTGATTTTTCCCGTTCTCTGGACAAATACGGCCTTGAATTTCAATGGAAATGGAGAACTGGAAATTCGAGTGGTGCCACCAACTCGCCAAGAGGAAAAATTTGTTAATCAACACGGGAAAAACTAGAAGTCAAGTACTCGGAAAATTGGAACTAAAAACAAAAAATCAAAAGTTAATTTGGAGAGCTCAAAAACACTTGAAATTTCTTGACAGGTCTTAGAGTGACCCCTATAGGGGTTATGGGGGAAAACAGCCCCTGAAGAGGCCAAAAAAGTGGTCCCTATAGGGGAAAAGTCAAGATGCTCTGTATAGAGTAACCCTTAGCCCCTAGAGCCTAAGTGGTCCCTATAGCGGTTGGTGAAGTGGTCCCTAGAGTGGACACTTAACGATTACACTATAGGGAGCACTTTGGCGATCCTCAGGAGGGTTCAAAAATTGAAAATTACAGCCTTTTGTAGGCAAATTTGACGTTAAAAATGCCAAAAATCTTCTCTTCGAAAAAAAAAAGTCGTTTTTATCAAATGGGATCAAGGAGACCGTGATTGCATTAGCGACACAGCTGGCGCAATCATTAAAAGCCAGAAAAAAAGGTCCGGGGGCGGTGAAAATCGATATGGAGGGGGCAAAAGCCGGAGTATAATTAGCCTCCTTTCCACGACTTGATGTTACTACGCAAATCGGGTACATAAATCTCAATGAAAATGACTAAAAATGGTAGTTTTCCTGGAATAAAACATGGATTTTCCTCAAAAAGTCTATTTCCAGGTGAGAAAGGAGCCGATTTTTGCTAAATTTCGGGCAGAAAAATTGAAAATAGACTATTTCCCTTGACGAAACGGGTAGAATTGAAAGAAATCGATCAAAAAATAGCAATTTTTTCCAATAAAAACCGAAAAATAACTCCAAAAATTACCGATTAAATCGAAAAATTCCAAGAAAAATCCGCGAAAATTACTCCGATAAGGACCAAAAACCATAAAAACGTGGGAACGACCTAATAAAAGCGTGGGAAGAGTCGATAGACCTAATTTTGCGTTGCGAATATATTTTCTATCAGGAAATTGTGATTTTCTCAAGGAAAATTGTGAAAAAAGAGCTTCCAAAAAAAAGAGCTTTCCAACTTGAAGCTCATTTTTTCAATATAAAAAACTATAAAATCGCAATTTTTACTTATAATTTTTAAATAAATCCTCGATTTTCTTCAAACCAAGTGCTTACAGGTCCCTTAAACCATGTAATTTTCTAATTTTTCTCCCAAAAAAGTCTTCAAAATCGCTAAAACTATCAGAAAATCTCTAATTTCATCAATCCACGGCTCAAAATAACTGAAAACTTCCACATAAAAGCTAAAAATCATAACTTTTACTTATTATTTTTGAAAATCCTTCAATTCAGGTGCTTAAAAGTCCCTTAAACCATGCAATTTTTCGATTTTTCTCCTTATAAAGCCTCCAAATGTCTTCAAAACCGCTAAAACTTACAGAAAACCCTTAATTTCATCAATTCCCGGCTCAAAATAACTGGTAATGAGCCGAAATCCTTCAAATCAGCCCCTCAAAAAGCTATCCAAGCGTGAAATTCCCCATTTCCTTGCTTCCTAACGCATAATAAACACTATAATTTAATAATATTCCCTCAGAATACATTGGAAAACAGTAAAAGTTCCCAGCAAAGACAAAAAATGAACCTTGGCCAGAGTTCTGTGGAGCAATAATGAGTGGAAGATGCAAGAAACTGCATCGTTGACTTGTCGCAGTTCGACTGTCTGAATTTATCCATTTTTTCTAGTTCTTATGAAGAGATGAAGCTGAAATACAGCAAAATTTGGAAAAAATGACCCAAAAAAGCTTCAAAAGTGACCCTTCCTGGGGAAAATTTCAAACAAAGGGAATTTTTGAACTTTACTGAAGCGACCTAAACTGTACAGAAAAATGATTGTTGTTAGAAAAAAAGTTTAAAAATCATTCAAAAAGTCAAAAAAATAAAACTAATAGCTACTCTTTCACTATGAAAAAAACCTTACAATTTCAAAAAAACTGGATTTTTTAGTGGCCGCTATAGAGACTCGCAAAGGACTACTTGGAGAGAACACTAAAGAGGCCACTATTTTCCGTTTAAGTGGCCAGTATAGGGATCTCTACTTAGTGGCCACTTCAGTAGTTTTTCATCCAGTATTCCTTCCAGTAACTCTGATAATTTTAAAACAAACAGATTGGACCAGTTAGGATGATCCATTGATCCCTAAAGTGGCCACTAATTTTTAACCCTTAAGTGGCCACTAATTCGACCACTATGGTGGCCACTAAACGTCAAAACCCTATAATGGCCACTTAAAATGTTCCCAGTACTTTTAAAAATTAGAAAAAAACGCTCAAAATCCCTAAGTGTCCGCATTTTAAAGAAAAAAAAACCCACCAAACGAAGTTCGTGTTGTCGTGCATTCATAACATCAGCGGCTGTGGACAGACAGCGCTGGAATTAATTCTCTTGCAGGGGCGAATATATATATGTACAAGGAAAAGAGACGATTATCAACAGGAATATAGGAAAAAAGGGGAATATTTAGAGGAATAGGAATAAGAAGAAGGTGCTCCGGTGATTGGTTGTACTACCCGTCCACCACGAGGTTACCAACCAAGCCAGAGTGAGGGGGGGAGAGAAGGGGGCGTCGCGAGGGTGAGGAGGCGGGGCTTCCGAGGCTAGGGACGCAGCGCTATCGATTCACGGCCCAAACAGACGCTTGGGCTTCGATTTTCAGCTTTTTTGGATTCTTTGAGGTTTGCAAGACCTTCGGACAGGGGTTTATCGAAAAATCGTGAGAAAATTGGAAAAAGAAGCTGAAAAGCAGATTTTTGACTTTTTATGGGGGGTTTTCCGGGTCTGGAATCATTTGGAAGTACAGAAAAAATTGAAAAATAGGAAAAAATCTATTAGAAAAAAATATAAGGGCTTTGGAATGTATTTGGTAGAGATTTGATCGAAAATTGTAAAGGAAATCAGAAAAATTGCTCTTCAGCGAGTCAATTTTTGGTTTTTTCAGAACTTTTCGAGTTCAGAAAGGTTTTTAGATGTATATTCTTCAAAAAATCTCATGAAAAATTGGAAAAAGAAGCGGAAAACCAGATTTTTGACTTTCTATGGAGGGTTTTTCGGGTCTGGAACCATAAAGAGGTTCAAAAAAAGTTGAAAAACGAAAAAAAAAAATTAGAAGGAGTTTGGAATGTATTTAGACGAGATTTGATCAAAAATTTGTGAGGAAATCAGAAAAATAGCTCTTTAATTAAATACGGCGAGTCAATTTTTGGTTTTTTCATGACTTCTTGAGTTTTTTGATGTATCTTTATTAAGAATAAGGATTTTAAAAATTTATATTCATCAAGAACTCGACAAAAAAACAAAGATCATTAGTCCAAAAAAATCTCAAAAAAACATACAAAAAAGAATCGCCCCCCGTTTTTGTACTGTGGGGGGGCCATTCTAGAATACATATTCACCCCCCTCGCGTTCGATTCTTCCCCCACATGAAGTCCTCCTATTTTACCCCCACAGATCGGAACTTGGCTTGGTGGGGGGCTTGTTGGAACGCGGGGGGCAAAAACAGTGTGGGGGGCGATTCTGGAATTTTCCCGGGGTAACCTTTGAGCCCTTGAAGGGTTCCCTATAGGGGCCACTAAAGCTTGCAAAAGTGGTCACTATAGGGGACATGCTATTCGATGATTATTATGATCTCTAGCCGTAAGAGCATTCCAGGTGAAAAATTATAAAGAAATAAATTTTTTTGAATAAAATTGAATAACTATAGTGACCACTTAAGCTTTAAGAGTAAGGGGTAAGGCTCTAAACCCTATAGGGACCCCCTTGAATTTTAGGGGCTAAGGCGTCAGACCCTGAACCCCTTTAGGGACCACTTGAGCTCTAGGCTTAGGAGTCAGACCCTGAACCCCTATAGGGACCGCTTTTTTTCGGATCCTGTAAGGGCTGTTTTTCCTCTAACCCCTATAGGGACCACTAGAAAAATTCCTAAGTGAGGCTATTTTTTCAAAATTTTTAAAGTGAAAACCTCAAAATTCAATCCTTTGACTAGATTTCTTTCTTATAAAGCTGGAAAAAATGGGAAAAACTAAACTGAGAAAGGAAAAGGGAGAAAAACAGAAAGCTACACGGCAAAAACGCCAAATTGTCCAATATTTCATAACCGGCCGTGACTAAAAAAATAGCCATAAAAAGGCCGAAAATGAGAAACCTAATGTGAACAAGCCGAAAAATTGGTTTTATATGCAAAATCTAAGAAAAAAATAAGGAGTTCTTTCGACTAAAAAAATAGGAGAAATCCTCAATTTTTTTCAGAAGAGTTTTAAAAAAATACTCAAAAAAATCCTCGAAAAAAATGAGCTTTTCCTCTCAAAATTGCTATTACGGCTCGAAAAAGAAACGTAAAAAAATGATAATTTATCCCAAAAATAACGAGATATTTCGCAACTTTTCCAAATCTGATAAGAAAAACAGATTAGATTTCATAAGTTTCCCAAAAAACAGCTTATCAGAGAATTTTTAAACCAAAAAAAATTGTCCATTTTTTTCGTCTGAAAAAAATGATTCAAGACAAACACAATGGATTTTTTCCATTTCCCAGCCCTAAATTAGTGGTTTTGGAGAAAAAAAACCAGTTTTGAAATCGCATTCAGCGGCAAAACCATGTGATTTTATGAGAGAGAAAAAGTTCTCAAATGGTTTTTGGATAGTTGCAAATTTTTCTTTAAAAATTGAGATTTTTTTTGAAGAAATTATTCAACTTTAATACTTATATAATTCATCTAAAGACATATTTTTTTCCTAATTGTTGACTTTCTGAAGCCTAAAAAAATAAGGTAAAAAGTACAGATTTGGGAATAAAATCCTCTGGAAATTCGAAAAAGTCCGACAATCCCAAAAAAATTAACATTTTTTTCCCAGTTTTGAACTTTTCCAACACTCCTATTAAATTGAGAACGCTAAATAATTTAAAAAAAGTGCCATTTTGGCAAGGAAAGATTGAAAATATGCAAAAAAAAAAAGCCTTGAAAAGTACTTTTCTTCTAAAAAACCTCACTAAATATATTTAAAAAAATCTCTTCCTGTCAAAATTCTTTCGAAAAGCGGTCATATGCTCCTTTAAACGGGAAGGATATCAAGAGGAGAAACTCTGGTCGGTGGAAAAAGTGATTAAAAACGGGAAAAAGCGTTATTTTTGGCAAGAGAAGATTGAAAATATGCAAAAAACGCACTTCTAGTACAGAAATTACCTTTAGAAAGTTCTTTTCTCCTTAGAAGCCCCTCACTAAAAATATTCAAAAAATCTCTTCCTGTCGAAATTCTTTCGAAAAGCGGTCATATGCTCTTTTAAACGGAAAGTTTATCAAGAGAAGAAACTCTAGTCGGTGGAAAAAGTGGCGAAAATGGGAAAAAGCGTTATTTTCGGCCAAAAAAGGACATTGAGAGTATTTTCTTTTCAAAAACCCCTCACTAAAAAATATTTAGAAACCTCGTCCTGTCAGAATTCTTTCACAAAGCGGTCATATGTTCCTTTAAACGGAGAGCTTATCAAAAAGTGAACTCAGGTCGGTGAAAAAAATGACAAAAAATGGAAAAGCGCCAAAAAAGGGCATTGAGACAACTTTTCTCTTTGAAAACTCCTCACTAAAAAATATTTGAAAACCTCTTCCTGTCAGAATTCTTTCACAAAGCGGTCATATGCTCCTTTAAACGGGAAGCTTATCAAGAGAAGGAACTCTAGTGCGACAAAAAATGGGAAAAAGATACGTCGGGAGCTTCTTCCTTGCATCCGTAGTCAAGTGACCAGCACTTAGTAGCACTAGGCTTTCCCGGCACCTTCTGACACTCTAACTAATGCAAATCCGACGTCGCGAATGCGCCCCTTCCCTTCTCATTGATAAGATAAAATTGGTTATGACTAGGTGATTTTTAAAGGAGCTCAAAAATGTTCATTTTCAAGCAATATTTTTGAGTAGAAAAAAAGATTTTTTTACAATAAATCAGAAAACTCTGGGAAAGTTTTTAGTGGCCACTATAGTAGTGAAGCTAGTGGCCACTTAAGGGTTTCAAAATTAGTGGCCACTATAGAGGTCTAAGTACTACAATTAGATCACTTAAAATTTTAGTGGCCACTTTAGGGATCTCTGGTCCTGTTTGTTTTAAAATATTAGAGTTACTGGAAGGAATACTGGATGAAAAACTACTTAAGTGGCCACTAAATAGAGAACCTCTATAGTGGCCACTAAAACAGAAAATAGGGGTCACTGTAGAGGTGGGTTTAGTGGCCACTTTAGTGTCCTCTCCAAGTAATCCTTGGCGAGCCTTTATAGTGGCCACTAAAACGGAAAATAATGGTCACTGTAGAGGTGGGTTTAGTGGCCACTTTAGTGTCCTCTCCAAGGGGTCCTTGGCGTTGGGGACCCTCTATAGTGGCCACTAATTTTCAAACCCTTAAGTGGCCGCTAATTTGACTACTATAGTGGCCACTAAAACGTCAAAACCCTAAAAAATTTTCCCAGTTTCGTGATCTAAAAATCAATATGTAGTCGAATAACCATTGGGAACCAGGAAACTTGGAAAAATTAGCCGGAATTCAAGTTTCTGCTCGATTTGAGTTGTTTCAAAGGACCCGGAAATTAAAGAAATTGAAGTGGCCGTGGATTTGAAGTGTGGAAACTCTAATAAAGAGCTGGAATTCGAATTTCAAAGCTAAATAATTCCTTTCCTGCACGAGTGGCTAGGTATATTCCTTAAGAATCGACAGAAATTTCAATTTTAAATCGAAAATTTATATTGAAATGACGAAAAGTCCAAAGAAACAGAGCAAAAATTCCCTCCCCCCGTGATTTTGTCACGTTTTACAAACGAACGGACGAGAAAAAAAAAATCATGAGTTGGGAAAAAAGATGAAAATTGGGTGATTTCGTAAGATTTTACACACACCAAGGTCAACATTGAAATAACTTACAAACCGGCGTGAAATCTCTAATTTCTTAATTCCTTTCACAGGGTCTTGAACGGAAAGTTTAAAAACTCATGAAAAAATTGAAAACGTCGGATTTTATTCGGAAAAGGTCCCTGATCTCGAAAAGGACTCAAAAATTCGACAAAATCACTTAAAAAGACTTCAAAAAACTAATTATAGTCTGCGCCTTTAATAAGGTTTTAAAGGCGCAGATAGTATTTTCACTTCATTTCTCTTCACTCCATTTTCCATTAGAAAAATCATAAATCGCAGAAAAGTTCTTTCTCCTGACTCGACCAGAAACTACTTGCGCGCGACGGCATCCTAAAGCATTTATGAAGAAAATATCAGCTTAGTATCGAATTTTGAAACTTTAATAAGTCTTTACCCCAAAAACCACCTAATACCCTACTTTTAATCGCAAAATCCCTCTTAAAGAAAAAAGATT